CTCAGCTGGTAGATGAAGCACATGACTAGCAAGTGCAAAGACCGGGGTTTTATCCCTAGCACGTCTTGGCCCAGTGAGCATTGCTAGGGGTGGCCCGGTCACCCCCAAGCACCACTGATGTGCTCCATCCCAACAGACACTGGACTTTCTCTCTCTTTCTTTCTTTCTTTCTTTCTTTCTTTCTTTCTTTCTTCCTTTCTTTCTTTCTTTTTGCTTTTTGGGTCACACTCAGCAATGCTCAGAGGTTACTCCTGGCTCATGCACTCAGGAATTGCTCCTGGTGGTGCTCGAGGGACCATATGGGATGCTGGGAATCGTACCTGGGTTGGCCACGTGCAAGGCAAGCGCCCTACTCACTGTGCTATCGCTCCAGCCCCTGGAGTTTCTCTTGTTCATTTATTCGCCCATTTTCCAACCCAAAACTAGGGACCTACTATGCGCGTGGGTCCCTCAAGCAGGCATCAGGGAAGGGTCCCGTTCTCCCTAACAGGGGCAAGCGACTGGATTAGGGATGGGGAGAGAGTGCTGTGCAGATGTCGCCTCTTGTCAGCAGGATAAAGCATAAAGTACCACTCTACGGTATTGAATCTATTGATTGTCAGGATTTAGGATTAGAAACGCCAGCAGAGACCAGCTCTCTCTGATTGCCTGTCCCCTCCTGGATTAAGTAAGAGGGATCAGATCGAGGGTGCGGTGGGGAGGGTCCCTGCCTTGCACGAGGCCAATGCAGGTTTGATCTCCAGCAGAGGGTCCCCTGAGCCCGCCAGGAGTGTTCCCTGAGCACAGGGCCAGGAGCAAGCCCTGAACTACAGCCAGATCTGGCCCCCAAACCAAGGGGGGAAAAAAACAAAACAATCAAAAGAATGTCCGTTGGCTTTTCCCAACGTTGCAGTGTTCCCTGTCTGAGTTCTGTCCTCAGATCTAAGCAATTAGATCAGCTCCTCTCTCCTCCATCTGCCGTGACATCACAGGATTGCCATAGCAACAGACCGTGATGGCACCAGAGTGCCCGGGCTGCTAGAATGAACCACATTGGCCAGAAGAGATTATGTCACCTGAAAGCAAAAAATGAGACAAGAGCAAAAGCCAGAGAAGCTGACATTTGATTTCAGGAAGAACATTTCTCGGCGGAGTAAGATGCCAGCAGCCCTGAGCCCGAAGCCCTCCCCAGCACGCAAGGCTCTTCCCGGGGTGGACCTGAGGCTGGGGACAGGGTGGTGACCTTCAGGGGTCCTTGTAGCCCCAGGTACCGGGGACCTGGGGGCTTTAGGGAAAGGAGAGATGGAGTCCTTTTTGGTCTCTGGAGAATTCAGGGAATTGACAAGGAGGCAAACCACCTGCCTCCGTGCCCTGAGCAGGACAGGCTGTCTCCAGCTGGAATTTATTCTATGGCAGCTGAAAAGATTTTGAGAAATAAACAGGCGGTGACCCCCGCCCTGCCCCCGCCTGCATGCCCGTTTGCTCCCCTCTTCCTTACAGACTCTGGGAGGTCACTTCCCTTCAGTCTCACCCCAGCTCAGAAGCCTGGTCCTGGCCACCAGCCCTGGCTCCTGGACAGCCTCCTTTGCTCGTCCCACCTGCTCCTGATCCCCGGGCCCACCCCAGCCCCACCCACGGCGGGAGGTGCAGTGGGCACTTTGTGGGCATGGCGCCTTCATTGTGCTCTGGCCCGTGAGTTACTGTAGTGTGGACACCGGGCAGGCTGAGAGGAGAAAGGCAGCTTCACCCACCTCGGCCTCGCACCCGGACTGACCCCTGTGGGCACAGGCAGGAGGGGCCCTGAGAAGTGAAGTGGGGAGTGGAGAGAGAGCTCGAGGCTGGCTCCCGGCTGGCAGCTGGGGACGGGAGGAGGGGGCAGCTGTCTTCCTGCAGGTCGCTGGCATGTGCTTCTGCCGTGCAGATGGGAACGCAGCCCCGCACCGCTCCGCCCGCCGCTCCCCGGTGTCCTTAGCTCGGGGAGGTCGAACTGCCTGCAAGGTGCACACCTGCTCCGCGCGCGCCCGGCTCTGCCGTGTCTGCCTTTCTCCTTGGGGACCCGAGCCGGGAGGGCAGCATCTCCCGCTCGGCCTCTGCCAGGCTGCGTTCCACCACACCTTAGGCAGTGGCAGCTCTCGGGGCACCCTCCCCCTCCACCCTGCCTTGGTGCCGGAGCCCAACCCAGGGCACCCGCCGTGTCTGCGCCGCCCTTCTTCGCCCTGGATCTTGGCCCTGCTGCGTCCTCCCGGCCGGACTGGAGGACTTACCATCGGAGGGATGGTAGGAGCAGAGTGGCTGTCGGGTCCCCTGAGGCTGCTGATTGCGGGACAGAGCTGCCAAAAAGATGCTGAAGTTTCGGGCTGATCGGAGGGTCAGGTAGGGACTCCTGCCGGGGCCCGGGTGCCCGCGAGAGAAGGTGGAGCTGGCGGGGCTGGGGCTCTAGGGCCTCCTCCGGCCAGGGGCCTGCCCCGCTGACCTGGGAGAGGCACCGGAGCTAGGTCAGTGGCTGCTGCATTGCAGTGCCGTGAAGGGGAAGTGTTTGGAAATGGGTCGCTCGGGGATGGAGGGAGGACGTCATGTGGACGGGTTGCCGGGAAGGGGCGTTGGGGGCAGGGAGGAGGGACAGTGCCGGCCGACAGCGCCCACGTGTGTGAGTGTGTGTGTGTGTGTGTGTGTGTGTGTGTGTGTGTGTGTGTGTGTCTTCTTTCGTCCTTCCTCCTGTCTGTCTGATTGTCTGTCTGAGCAGTGCCTGCAGGGACGCTCTCAGCAGACTCAGCACAAACAGGACACAGAGCAGAAGGACACCTGGGGGCAGGGCCGCCAGGACAAAGCAGAGACCTTGGCACTGCACACGCTGCCTGCCTGTCCCCCAGACTTTGATGTGGGACCATGCCAGGGACCAAGGTCAAGGCAGCTGCTTTCTTCCTCAGGGGTCCCCCCTAGCCCCTGCACTCCTGCCCCGGTTGATGGAGGAGCAGGTGCTCGTGGAGAGGGGAGGGAAGGGAGCACAGAGAGGCAGGAAGCGGGTTGTCCCAGCACAGAGTTGGAGCTCAGGCCCGGGGGACCCAGATCAGTGTCCTAAATGGAAGGCTCAGGGGCAAACCCCAGATGCCTGCACAGACAGGGGCTGTGACCGGGGGCCGCCCATCGTCAGCATCCCGGCTTCCTTGACTGTGGGTCTCCAGCCCATTTAAGGCCATATAATGGAATGGGGAGTGAATATTTGATAACAGTGAAATGTGAAATGTAAAAGAATTTCTGGATGCGCGCTGACTCCAAAGTCTACCTCAAATACATAATGAATCCGCGGCCTTTCTTGGCAGTGTTTACTTGAGTTGCACTTTTTTTGTGTTTTGGTTTTTGGGTCAGGCCCAGCGGTGCTCAGAGACTTCTCCTGGCTCAGCAATTCAGGGGACACTGCTGGTCCAGGACTCAAACCCAGGCTTCCAGCTTGCTCTTCATGCGGGGGATCTCTGTCTTTGCCTCTGTATCAGGCGAAAGGGGTCAGGAGTGAAAAAAGATTAAGAAGCCTGTTTTTGTTTGTGTGGGGGGAGGGGCGGGGAACCCAGTGATGCTCAGGGGTTCTCTTGGCTCTGCATGCAGGAATTACTCCTGGCTGTGCTCAAGGGCCCCTACGGGCTGCCGGGGAATAGAACCCCGGTTGGCTGCATGCTGGGCAAACGTCTTACTGTCTGTGCTATTGCTTTGGCTCCAAGAAGAGCTTTATTGTGCCTGACTTTGGGCGTCATCTGCTTAGGACCTGTTTGAAAGTGGAAATAGCCCCTTGCTGTTATCTTTGGCTTCAGTGAACAGTTCAAACACCGGGATGGATCCTGGTCTATTGAGAGGGTCTGCAAGAGGTGTCTTCACTTCCCCCGGCCGCTGATGCCACAGGTTCTGGGTCAGCCCCACTAAGCTGGTCCTGTCCCGTGGATGCTCAAGCCACAGAAAGCTCCATCCTGGCGCCTGCTTCTTGGAGTGCCCGAGCCTGCCCTGGCTCTATCTCTCAAGAAGAATAGTGAGGCCGATCCTAAAACTCACTCTGCACCCCACCCCAGCCCCGTTGACTGGGTGCTTGAGTCGCCCCTTTAATATTCTCGCCAGCTTCCATCTTCCATGGCTGCAAAGTCTGATTTTATAGGGGACACACCCAAGGTTTTTTTTTCCTTTTTGGGTCACACCAACGATGCACAGAGGTTACTCCTGATTCATGCACTCAAGACTTATTTCTGGCAGGCTCAGGGGACCATATGGGATGTTGGGAATCGAACCCAGGTCAGCCACGTGCAAGGCAAACACCCTACCCTCTGTACTGTCGCTCCAGCCCCACTCAAGGGTTCTTGGGGTTCTGAAATCTCCCCCAACGATGCTCAACCTGGCAGCTCAGTGCTTACTTGGACCTATTGGTACCTGGGGCTTCCACGTCTATCCTGCAGTGCCCCAGAGCCACCAGGGCCATACCCAGGAGTGCTAGGGAGGGCAGGTAGTGCCGGGGATTGAACTCAGGGCCTCACGTGGCCAGGCGTGTGCTGCACCCTGGCCTTTCCCCAAATCCTCTAAAGTTAGAGATGGAGCTCCCAGGATGGGGGCCCCAAGTTCAATGTCTAATGCCACACGGCCCCCTGAGTACATCTGGGTGTGGCCCCACAAAAAGAAGAAATAAAATAAAAAGCTCAAATTAAAGAGCTGGAGTATGAAGCAGGAGAGGAAGCGCTAACAATCCCCAGTCAGCAATGGGTGGACACTGGGAGGGGCTCGGGCTGCTGCTGTCCTGGGAGAGACTCACCCACGGCAAGTCCTGTCCCCCCGACCAGACACGCTTGGGGGGGCCCCCAGATGGGCTCTGTGGGCTTTGACCCAACTCAGACCCTGGGAAGTGGTTTCCGCTACTGAGTGAAAGTGTCTTTCTGCAGCCCAGCCTCCTGTGGCCCCACCCTTAGCCCTGATGGGTGTCAGTGGCCAGCTGCTGCCCCCTCAGCTGCCCACTGCCTTAGTCTCAGCGTCTCTTGTGTTTGCCTCCACAGCCACCATGAGAGACGGAACACCTTTCTGCACCCAGTGACGGGACAGATTCCGGAGGAAAACCACAAATTTAACTTGAAACCGTATGTTTGTCCCCTGCAGCCATGGAGCTTGTAGGCCTGGACCCTGCACCCCCCCCCCCAGGGTGCCGTGGCTGGGAAGGGGGTGGGTTCATGGGGGCTGGGGCCTGAGGGTCTGTGGGAGCTTCAGGGTCCCCCATGCCAATCCAGAGGTTGGACATGGAGCCAGTCTCAGGTCAGGGCATCCTACAGAGTGAAACAGAACTGTGAGGGGGCTCTGACCCTCAGCAAGGGCCTTTGGGGAGGGGTCTTCTGCTAGGAGCGTCCGTGACTGAGAGACCAATGTGGTGGCCATGCGGTGCCCCTCAGCCCACTGGCTCACAGCTGTCACTTAGAACGTCCCAGAGCACTAAAAGTAGAGTTTTCTTTCTTTCTTTCTTTCTTTCTTTCTTTCTTTTCTTTCCTTCTTTCCTTCTTTCTTTGCTTTTTGGGTCACACCCGGCGATGCACAGGGGTTACTCCTGGCTCTGCATTCAGGAATTACTGCACTCAGGAATTGCTCCTAACAGTGCTTGGGGGACCATATGCGATGCTGGGAATTGAACCCGGGTCGGCCACATGCAAGGCAAAGGCCCTACCTGCTGTGCTATCACTCCAGCCCCTAGGAGGAGGTTTTTAAAGTCAATTTGCCTGGAGGAAGAGGCGCATATCCAGCACCACCAGCGTGGGTCGGCAGAGGGGTGGAGGAGTGGCAAGATGGCTTCATGCCAGCACTGGGGGGCCCGGGAGTGGTGGGGCGCAGTCCCCTGTGGCTGCCGGAACAGCGGGTCGGGTGGGGAAGGGAGGGCCGGTTCCCACTGAGTTCCACTTCTGACTCGTTTCTTCCTTCTCTGCTGCCCGTTTGAAATCAGATCCACCTTGGACATGTCCAATAAAGCAGGCGGGAAACGCGTGACCACCACCAACAGCGACGTGTCCAATCACAACATGGTGTCCGAGGTCCCCGCCGAGCGGCCCAGCGTCCGGGTGAGCGGCCAGCAGGCCCCCAGGAGCCCACCCAGGAGGAGGACGAGGGAGGGGCTGGCGCGGGAAGGAGCTGGCGGGGCCAGGCTGGGCTTCTTTCTACCCACTCGGTGCCTGCAGTGTCGTCTGTGGCAACCCTAAAGCTCCAGATGGCTTCAAACGTTCCCCGGAGGACAGAAAGGCCCATCCTCGCGGGGGCTCCGTGATTTATGGGGAAGCAGCAGAAGACTCACTCAGAAAGATGTGTGCGGGTGGGGGGTGGGGGGTGGGGGGTGGGCCGAGGAGAGGGGTGTCTTTGAGCAGACACCAGGCAGAGCTGGTGATTGGCGCTCAGAACATGCATTCAGCCACACACACACACACACACACACACACACACACACACACACACACGGGCACCCTGACAAGGGCAAAGAGGCCCAAGGCAAGCTGGAGAGGGTTTGGGAGGAGAGAGATCGAAACAGACACGAGACAAGAAATGGTGGTAGGTGTGGCCCCCAAACAAACAAAAAATAAAAACAGGGGCTGGAGCGATAGCACAGCGGGTAGGGGGGTAGGGCGTTTGCCTTGCATGTGGCCCACCCGGGTTTGATCTCCAGCATCCCATATGGTTCCCCCGAGCACCGCCAGGAGTGATGCCCTGAGCATCGCGGGATGTGACCCAAAAAGCTAAAACAAAAGAAAAAGAAGAAGAAGAAATGGTGGGGCTGGAGCGATAGCCCAACGGGTAGGGCGCTTGCTTTGCACACGGCCAACTCGGGTTCGATTCCCAGCCTCCCATATGGTCCCCTGATCACTGCCAGGAGTAATTCCTGAGTGCAGAGCCAGGAGTAACCCCTGTGCATCGCCAGGTGTGACCCAAAAAGAAAAAAAAAAGAAGAAATGGTGGTAGGGGCCAGCGAGCACAGAGAGGAAGGCACTTACTTGCCTTACACGGGACCAACCCGGGTCCAATCCATGGCACCCCATAGAGTCCCTCAAGCACTACTGGGTATGATTCCTGAACACAGAGCCAAGAGTAAACCCTGAGCAACACTGGGTGTGGCCAAAAAATATGGCGGTCGATCACACAGCCGAATGCGCTCCAGAACCTGAAAGCCATCAGAACAAGAATAGATCTTGAAAATGTAAGGTCGCAAAACATGGCAAACAAAACGGCATCACTTATGAAGAGCAAGCTTTAGATGGGCTCAGGTAACAAGATGGTGATGCTGTATGAGCCTTATATGTGGGCAGCTCACGGATCTGGGGTCCATGGTGGCCTTTGGGGTGGGACTGGACTGAGAGTTGATGGACTCAGGGATCTGCATGTTCTTAGCACAGAGGCCCAACCTTCAGGAGCCGAGCCTCTGACACCGGTGAAGGCTCAGGGAAGAACTTCCCATCTGACGTACCATAAAACCCAGTTCTTCTCTCCTCGCTTCTGTGCCTGCAAATGCGGCTTCCTTGCACGTAGCTGTGAGATCCCCAGAGGGAGCAGAGCAGAGCCTGGTGTGCTTCTGCCAGGAACTGCTGGTCACTGCGGGAGTCAGAGGCTGTTCCGGGCAGGGCTGCAGTTTCAGACTCTACAAATCTGCCTAAGGGAGAGCTCACTGCTCAGGGGGCTCCGAGAGGCCAGGTGGAGGGGCTGGGAGCTGCCCTAGGCCCAGAGGAGAGGCTGGGATTTGTCAGAGGACAGGGCAATCGGGCTGCCCCGAGCTCTGATCTCCACGGGGAAGGGAAGGGCACAGGGAGGGTCGGTGGGCGGGGGACTCACTGTCAGAAGCCTGTTCCCTCTGGAGAGGTGGAAGGAGGACCCTCAAACATGCGGGACCCCAGCACAGACAGGAATGATCCCCCAGGCACTGCTGGGTGTGACCCTAAAACCAAACCTAAACAAACCTAAACCCAGACCTAGAGATAAGCTCTTCACTCCCCCCCCAGGGGATGTCAGAAGGAAGAACCGCTGTCCAGTGACCTGAGATGTGGGCAGGGGAGGGGAGAGTACACAGACACCACCACCTCTCCTGAGGTGCCCAGGACATGCTGAACTCTGGTCGGGCACTTGGGTGAATTTGCGTCCCTCTCACCAAGATGGGAGACAGACCATGTAGGATACCTGGGGTCAAACCTGGGTCAGTCGCATGCAAGGCAAATGTCCTACCCTCTGTGGGGTATCGCTCCCTGAAGAGTTAAATTTCTCCTAAAAATATCCCACTGCTTCGAGACACATGGAATGCCTCTCTTGAGCCCCATTTTGTCAATATGTTCTTGTGGGGCCACAATTTGGGGCCACACCTGGCAATGCTCTGCACTCAGGAATCATTCCTGGTGGTGCATGGGGGACCATATGGGATGCTGGGGACTGAGGTTGACTGCGTGCCAGGCAAGCGTCTTATCCACTGCACTGTGGCTCCGGCCCCACTGAGCCCCATTTTAGAAAAAGGAATAGCCACCGTAGAAGGACTCTGGCTCTGGTGACCGCCAGCCCTCAGCCCTGGGCCTCATTGCTTGAGGGCACCTCCAGAGGCTGCTCACTCGCCCAGTTGCTGCAGTGGGAGAGAACTAGGTTCCCCCTCACCCCCCGCCAGGCCACCCGGACCTCCCGCAAGGCTATTGCCTTTGGCAAGCGTGCCCACTCCATGAAGCGGAACCCCAGTGCCCCCGTGGCCAAGGCTGGCTGGCTCTTCAAGCAGGTGAGGCCCCTGCATCCGCGTCCCCCACCCCCTGCTCCCTGCTCTGTCCTCACAGCTTGGGGACATCTCTACCTGGACATTTGTCCCTCCAGCCCTAAACCCCCCACCCCCACCGCCCCTTAACCCCCTGGCTGCCCCATACCATGTCCTATTTTGGTGTACCTCTGAGCAGCCGTCATTTTCTATCTTTTTATTGTGTGTGTGTGTGTGTGTGTGTGTGTGTGTGTGTGTGTGCTTTTTGGGTCACACCTGGAGATGCACAGGGGTTACTCCTGGCTCTGCACTCAGGAATTACCCCTGGTGGTGCTCAGGGGACCATATGGGATGCTGGGAATCGAACTTGGGTCGGCTGTGTGCAAGGCAAACGCCCTACCCACTGTACTATTGCTCCAGCCCCCGCAACCGTCATTTTCGAAACACTCAAGGAAGTTGTGTGTCTTCTCCAACTCCCCGGGAAACTCCGTGTCCAACCTGGGGACCCAGCCAGGTTTCTTGAGGTGCTTATGAAATGGGTTGGGAATGGGCTGAGTCATCTACTCTCTCAGGTCACCAAACAGGGCCCCCTGCCCTCTGGGAGTCACCTGCTGCTGCCCCTGCAGGTCCCTCTTGCCAGGACCGGGAGAATAGTCTCCCTATTGTCCCTGTGCCACTTGCTCACTCAACCCACCTCACCTGTCGCCCCTGATCCCCACGGGGCACTTAGACCAGAACAAAGGACGAACAGGGCCACAGGTACCCCGCCCTTCCTGCCCCCCCATCAGCCCCCACCCTAAGGCTGCCTGAGGGCATGGCGCAGTGAGCGGGGCATCCGTCCACTCCATGCCTGCCTTCCCTGCCCTTCCCCAGGCCAGCTCCGGGGTCAAGCAGTGGAACAAGCGCTGGTTCGTGCTGGTGGATCGCTGCCTCTTCTACTACAAAGGTGAGCCTGCCTCCCCACGCTCACCTGGGGTGGCTTGTGGGGTGCGGGGCAGACTTCTCCAGGGGGTCTGGCACAGCTCAGGGAACCAGAGTGGGTGCTGGGGGTCGAACCTGGGTTGTCCGTGTGCAAGGCAAATGTGCCAGTTCCAGTGGGGCATGACGGCCCGTGAAGACCAGCTGGCGGCCAGCAGTGTAACCCAGAGCTCCCGTGGGTTGGAGCCTTCTCGGCCTCGGCAGGGGAGCTGGGCGGTGACCTGGCAGCCCCGTGATGCAGTGAGGTATGGGGGGGGCAGGGTCACACCTCACAGGCTGCCTGCTCTGGGTGGTGTGCTGCCTCTTGCTCTCTGGAATGTTCCGTCCGATGGGGCAAGGCAGGAGTTTTCTCTGCCCCATTCATGGCGGCACCCCCAGAGACAGAGCCTGACACTTAGGCATTGGTTGGTGTTGGGAGAGAACTAGGTCCTCCCTTACCCCCCGCCAAGCCAAAGAGATTGAAACAGACATGATGGCCTTGCGGGAGGTCCGGGTGGGCTGGCAGGGGTTAAGGGGGGACCTAGTTCTCTCCCACTTGTGATCCCACTGCTCACTCTTACCCTCTCCGAAGATCAAAGATAGAGGGATGGGGAGGGGAGGCAAAGACCTGCCCACGTGGGGGTATCCACATCTTGGGGTGCCCCTTGTGAGGGGCTATGAGGCGATGCCAGGGAGTCCAGAGGGTCCCAGTACCCTGCAAGCCAGCGCCAGGCTGGGTGCTGGGAGCTGAGGGCCTCCCGGGAGCTGGTCTGTCAATCATTAACCAGCAAACAAGGGCCGTAACCAGTGACCGCCCGACACTGCTGTCCCTGCTCCGGGTGGCCACCCCCTGGGCCCAGACGGGAGAGGCGGGGAGGGCCGTGTTTGGGGGTGCAGCAGACGGGGAGGCTGTGCCTGTGTGGGGTCCCTGTGCTGGCTGCAGTGGAGCTTGGGGGGACGAAGCGAAAGAAGTGGGGGAGGGCCTCTGCATAGCTGGTGGAGGCAGGAGCTCCCCAGGGGAATTGCAAGGGCACTACAGTGGGCGCAGCTGCCCCCAAGGGATGTGCCGAGTTCCCCCCACACCCTGGCAGGGATCCCCCAGGTAGGGGTCCTTCTCCTCCTGGTGAGAGCTCAGCCTCCAGCAAACTGCCTTGGGTCCATCCCAGCCCCTCCTTCCCCTCTGCCTTATCACGGCACCACCCTGAGGTCCCTGAGGAAGAGGAGTTGGGGGGTGCGTGACTAGTGCCACTGAGGGGCTCCAAATCACCCTGAGCCTTTCCAAATCCTCATTCTGGTGGTTTCACAGGTTGAACTGAGCAGGGGGAGGGCGTGCGTGGTCTCAGGGCTGCCACCCACCTGGGCCACAGAGCACCCTGCTACCTGCCCTTCTTGGACCCCTCTCGCCCCCGCCGTCACTGCCCCCAGCCCCCAGCTACTCTGAGGCTCGCCTGTGACCCAGGAGGAACTAGGTGGCGGCCTGAGGACCTGGGCTGGTCCCTGCAGGGTGTGTCTTTGGGAGAAGTGTGCAGGGGTCAGCATCACCCGTAGCAGAGTGCGAGCTCTGGGGAGCCTCCTCCTCTCATGCCCCTCCCGGCCCCCTGCTTCTAGAACCATGCACTGGGCTGCGGCCCTGGCATTGGCAGAGACACCCTGGGTGGAGGGTGTTTCCCAGAGGGCTTGATGGACAGTCAGTGGGCAACAAGTCACCGCTCATATCTACTCTGCTAGGCTGAGGGGCTCCTCTCTCCACATCCCTGCACCTGTCACAGGTGTGCTCATGCCTCACCCATGCTGTCTGCAGGAGGGAGTGCTCCACCCCACCCCTGCACTCCCAGGTGTGCACACGCCTCACCTGTGCTGTCTCCCTACAGGTGGGGGGGGGGGTGCTCCACCCCACCCCTGCACACACAGGTGTGCACATGCCTTACCTGTGCTGTCTCTGCAGGTGGGAGTGCTCCACCCCACCCCTGCACTCCCAGGTGTGCACACGCCTCACCTGTGCTGTCTCTGCAGATGAGAAGGAGGAGAGCATCCTGGGCAGCATCCCCCTCCTGAGCTTCCGGGTGGCCGCTGTGCAGCCCTCGGACAACATCAGCCGGAAGCACACTTTTAAGGTCAGTGGCCTTCCTCTGCCCGGACATGTGGGAGAGGGGACTTGTCCATAGCTGCCGCCTCAGAATCCAGGGGCGCTGAGAGGCGGTGGAGGGGGGGCGGGACATGCTTCTGAAGCAGACCGTTTGTGGGGCAGAACTGGGACTGGGCCTCCTGCTCTTTCCTAGGGGAGGGGGCCGGTTCTCCAGGAAGTATCTGTGCTTTGGTGCTACTGGCTTGTACTGGGGGAGGAACGGTTACGTCTTGAGCCTCTGGTGGTGGTGGTGTGGGCTTCTGGGGCCTCAGATCCTTGCTGGAAAACTCCCTTCCCTCCTTGGGCTCAGGTCCTCAGGTCTCAGTCTCCAGAGCTGAGGGACACTGAGCCCCGAGAGACACCAACCTCTTTAGATGACAGTTGAGGGCTGGCCTGGCCAGCCGCCCTCCCCTAGGAAGCCCCAGGACCGCCCCCCACCCCCACCCCAGACCCACCCAGAGAGACAGCCTGCAGCTGGCTCATCCTAGCTCAGTACTTTTTCCACATTTAAAAATTCATGACCTTAAAAAATGAGAACACCACGCCCTTTGTGTGCTTTATAATGCAGAAGGCTCCTCCTTGGTTCCAAAGACAAAAAAAGACAAAATAAGCCTTAGCCCTGCCCTTCCTCAGCGTGAAATTCCGTCTCCTCCAGTTGAGAACTGGAAGTTCTGGAGCCAGGCAGGACTAGGACCCTAGGGTCCCTGGGGGCTTGCGAGCCTCCACCCCTTCCCAGCGTTCAGATGCCCGGGTCACCTGTGCCAGGCAGGTGCTGTTCACAGAAGGAGGAGGGGGCTGGAGGGGGGCCGCCTAATGAACTGCAACAAGAAGTGTGAACTGAATGAACAATGAGTAAGGCCTGAGTCCCGGAAGTCAGGCACCAGCAGGGCGGTAAGAACAGGCTGTTTAACCAACAGCAGGCAGGGTGCTGCGCACACACGCGCACACACACCCACACAGCCAAACGGCCTGGGCTGGGGTGCACACAGACACCCACACCAGCACCGTGCTCTGCTGGCTGCAGCGCCGGGCCAGCTCCTGAGCTACCAGCACCCACCAGAGACCCCCCACGCTCCCCACCCGTGCCCATAAGCCCCACCCCAGCACGCACCTGCCTCTTACAAAGTCAAGCTGGAGGCAGAGGCTCCGCGGGTTCTGGGGTGGCACTGGGAGGCCTTTCCCTGGGGATGGGAGGATGGAGACAGACGGGCTTGAAACCCTGGACGGCCGACGGGGATGTGGACTGGCCCTGTCCAGCTGCTGCTGCAGGCCTTGGCCTTTCCCGGGGGACTCCCCCCAAGAAAGCCCCCTTCAATTTTTGAGGAGCTGAGCTGGTGCCGCTCTGGCTCTCCATGGGCCACCCCGTCAGCAGTAATTGTTCCTGGGCCTTTGCACGCTCCCTGTCTCTGGGGAGGGGCGTTTTCTGTCCCCCAGCTGTACTTCAAGTCCCCAGTGTGTCTTTGCTCCCCCCCGGTTACCGGGCCTCCTCTGCACACACGCTGTGCTTAGCCATTCCTTCTGCCCTACGTGTGCTCCGTGTCTTACCACTGGCCCTGGACACACCCACAGTTCCAGCTCTGTTCTTGCCACCGCTGCCATGGGCTCCATGGGCTCTGTGGGACCAACTTCCTTCCAGCTGGCTCTTTGGGGACCTCCCACTGCCTTTGTCCTCAGGCTGAGTCCCCTACTGAAGGCTGGGGACAGGCAGGGTCCAGGGAAAGGCACCCATGCTCCCCTAACACACCTCCCTGGGTTAAGACACCTGCCTGGAATGCAGCTGGAAGGTGCAGATTGGACCTTTGCTTAGGAGAGTCCTGGGGCTCGATCCTACCCTGCTCAGCACCGAGAGATGAGAAGCCCAGGGAGGTTGTGGGTGTCCCTGAGGAGTGGACTAGGCTCCCGGGAAGGGCTGTCCCTGCAGGGCACCCCTCTGACACAGGCATCCATGCAGAGCCACTGGGCTGGAGGGTGGATGGCTGGGCCGGGCGGGGGGTTGTTTCCAGAACAGAGTGGGATGCTCTACCCCCACTCCTCCAGCCCCCCTGTGTGCACTGCTGCCACCAGGGGCTGAGCAGGGCATTGCTGGGGGCTGTGGTCCCCACAGAGAGCCCTTCAGAACAGACCCCTCTGGGCCTCTGGGGGCCCAGCTACAGGACATAGGGCATTTGCCTAGCACGAGATTGACCCAGGTTTGATCCCCCGCCTCCTATGTGGTCCCCTGAGCACTGCCAGGAGTGATTCCTGAGCTCAGAGAGCCAGGAGTCAGCCCTGAGCATCACTGACTGTGACCCCCCCCCCCCCCCACACACACACACTCCAAAACAAACAAGCACAGCCGCCTCTGCTCAACCACGTTCCTGCCTTCTGGGTTGCCTTCTGTCCTCCCTCTGGTGTTGGTTGACCTGTTCTCTGCTTCTCCCCTCTGTGGTCGCGTGAGGACCCCTCCCTGGACAGGAGCTCTCTTCTGGGTACCCGCTCGCCGCACCTGCCCGCGGCCACCAACTAGGTAGTGTGTCCCCCACCCGCGCATGCCCCCTGCATGCCTGTCCACACACAGGCCGGCCTGGATCCCCCCACGCTGCAAGGCCGTGCGAGCTGCTCTGGCCCAGACCCCCGGACAGCGGGTCTTTGCCCTTCAGACCGCTAGGGGCCCTTGGCCCCGGCTCAGAAGCATCTTCCCAGCCTGCCCGCTGGCGGCCGAGAGCTGGTCCAGGCAGACACCTGCATGCCCCCGGGGAGGCCGTGGGGACAGACGCTGCAGACTCTGGCAACCTCTGATCCCTGTCCTGTGGGCGTGGTGTTCTTTCCCTGCAGGTGACCGTGTGCCGGGTGGACGAGGCCGGGGCCAGTCCCACGCTTAGCCTCTCCCCGCAGGCCGAGCACGCTGGGGTCCGCACCTACTTCTTCAGTGCGGAGAGCCCCGAGGAGCAGGAGGCCTGGATCCAGGCCATGGGGGAAGCGGCCCGCGTGCAGATCCCCCCGGCCCAGAAGTCAGTGCCTCAAGCTGTGCGTCACAGGTGAGCGCCTGGACACAGGGCCCGGGCATGGGGGGCCAGAGGAAGCCTGGGGGGGGGGGGCTTTGCCAGCTCCCCATCCTGGCCTGAGCTCCCAGTAAGTGATGCAGAGTCTGCAGCTTCGTCCGGCTCCTCAGTGCCCTGGAGGGGGAGGCCAGGAGACGAGTGGGTCCCTCCTGATGGAAAGGACGGGTCCCCGCCCCTGGTGCCCACTGGGCACATCACACACAGCCTTTGGTGGGAGAGGGCCTCGGGCTCCATTCCACATGGCATCGTCCTTGGTGTGATCTCAAGAAAGACTCCTGACCCGCTGCTTCTGCTCAGAGGCACTGGATCCCATGAGGTTTCCACAGAGAGTCAGATGTGGAGAGAGAAGGGGACAGCTTTGGCCACAGACGGCCGCCCAGCCCTTGGCCACCGTCACCTCAAGGCCCAAAGCCCCGCCCTGCCTCACCAGAGGCTGAGCCTTGGTTGAAGTTGTATGGGGAACCAGATGTTGTTTTGAGTACAAACCCCATATCTTCTTGTTGAACATGTTTCCCAAGAAAGCTCCTGGGGAAAGGGGCTTGGAATGTCATGGGGTTGTACTAGGGAGAATGTTGTCACAAGACCCCTCTCCCCAAATCCATTTTTTCTTCTTCTTCTTCTTCTTCTTCTTCTTCTTCTTCTTCTTCTTCTTCTTCTTCTTCTTCTTCTTCTTCTTCTTCTTCTTCCTCCTCCTCCTCCTCCTCCTCCTTCTTCTTCTTAGAATCACCGTGAGGTGGTTAGTTTCAGTCATACAATGATGGAGTACCCATCCCTCCACCAGTGCCCATTCACCACCACCAATGATCCCAGTATCCCTCTCACCCTCCCACCCCATCCCCACTCCCTCCTCCCCCCCCACCTCTGTGGCAGGGCATTCCCTTTTGCTCTCTCTCTCTCTCTCTTTTTGGGTATTGTGATTTGCAATAGAGGTATTGAGTGGCCATCAGGTTCAAAGACTCCCACCATCCTTTAATCATGGGGTATCTTTCCAGAAGTCCATGCACTCGTGGTTTATTAGAATCTACTGTTGACACAGTGCATGGGGGGCACAGGGGTGGGACCCGGAGCTGCTTGCCCTGGGGGGCTGATGGCCCTAGGGAGTCCCTTCTGGAGAAGCCTGGTGCTGGGTGGAGCAGAGACTCGCCTACAGCTTCCCTCCCACCGAAGTCCTGGGGGGTGGCTAGAAACCCATGATGCATGGCAGAGGGGACTTCTCGCGGTGAATTTCCTGGACACAGCCTCCGGTGGCTGGCCCATGCAGGATGTTTGCTGTTGGACGCTGGTGCCATGCTTCTGTGTTTGCGGCCGGACTGGAAGAGCTTGAAGCTGCAGAGTCTGACCTCAGCCATAGCTGACCTCAACCCAGGGCTGTGTCCGGGCGGGCCAGCCGAGGGAGAGGAGGGCCTGCACATGTGGGTCGGTCAGATCTACGGCGCAGTCACAGGTGCCACGGTGGCACTCAGAAAGCAGGTGCCACTCACGGAAGCCCGAGCGCACCCTGTGGAAGTTCCCTCAGCTCCCCCCCCCCCTTCCTGCGCCGGAGCTGGCCGGAGTTGCTTACACCTTTCCTTTGATCTTCCACAGCCAGGAGAAGCCAGACTCTGAGAACATCCCTCCCAGCAAACACCACCCGCAGACGCCCCACAACAGCCTCCCCAAGCCCGAGCCAGAAGCCAAGACGCGTGGGGAGGGGGACGGCCGCGGCTGCGAGAAGGCCGAGCGGAGGCTGGAGAGGCCCGAAGCCAAGACTGAGCGTCTGGGGAAGGTCAACGGTGTCCAAGCTGGCCCCGAGTCCACGTCCGAGCCAGGCAGCCCCTACCCCGAGGGCCCAAGGGTGCCAGGGGGTGGGGAGCAGCCGGCCCAGTCCAACGGCTGGCAGTACAGCTCCCCCAGCCGGCCCGGGAGCACGGCCTTCCCGCCTCAGGACGGGGACGGCGGCGGGGGACAGCGGCAGAGCTTCCCTCCACGCACCAACCCCGACAGGATTGCCCAGCGCAAGAGCTCCATGAACCAGCTTCAGCAGTGGGTGAACCTGCGGCGGGGGGTGCCTCCTGCTGAGGACCTCCGCAGGTGAGGCTGGTGGGGACCAGGGCTGAGCGAGGAGGCGACAAAATCGGGACACGCCTCCTTCTGAGTGCTCCCTGTTAAAGTGCTCCAAGAAAGACCAACAAAGTACGCCCGATTCTTTCGGTCTCAGGAGGAAGGGAGGAAACACTCAGAGTTCTGCCCACAGGCCGTCCTGGCTCTCCGTTCTGCCCACGCCCCCTTACCCACACCTTGAACATGCCACACTGCCAGCTCACTGCGGTCTCGAAGCGCCCTTGATAGGATGGGGGCCAGAGATGCAGCTCTGGTGACTGAGGACTTAGCTAGCAGCGGAGGGCGCTGGGTGCGAGTCTCGGCATAAGACCTGGTGGAATTTTGTTTGTTTTGATTTGGGGGGCCACACCTGGCGGTGCTCAGGGGTGACTCCTGGCTGTGCTCAGGGATCACTCCTGGCAATGTTTGGGGGACCACATGGGGTGCCAGGGATTGAACCTGGGTCAGCGTGTGCAAGGCAAGTGCCCTCTCTGCTGTACTATTGCTCTGGCCCCAAGACCCAGTGGGATTCTGGAAAAAAAAAAAAGCACAGGGTGGGTGGCTGGGGCATCCCTCCTGCTCTTCAGGAGTCCTTCATTGGGGTGGGGTGGGGGTGGGGGGTCCCAGGAACTGACAAGGTGCTAGAATCAGGGAAGCTGGGACCAGGGTGTGGCTCAGTGGCTGCACAGTGGCCTTGCATGGGTGAGGACCCAGGTTAGATCCACATATACACAGTCAAGGATGTGAACCTGTCTCCAAGCTGGCCCAGAGCCCACATCCTAGGGGCTGTGGAGGGGGGACAGCTCAGCCTGGCAGTACAGTTCCCTCAGCCCACCCGGAGCACAGCCTTCCCAGGAGGGGACAGTGGGGGGGACGCACAGAACTCCGCTCCACTCGGGGCACCCTCTGTCTCTGCCCCTTCCCCGGCTGGGATCTGATGCGTTAGTCCACTCTAGTGGAGAGAGCGGGCTGACCGCCCCCGCCCTGTGTCCCCATCCACAGCCACGATGAGCAGGGAAGTTCCCGGCGGGGAACTGGAGCTGGCAGTTCAGGGTCCTGCGCGCGCCTTAGGGTCCACGCGGAGTCCTAGGCGCCCCCGAAGGCGCGGGACTGGGAGTGGGGGCACGTCCCCTGGGTCCCGCTGCCTCACCGCGCCCCCTCTCTCAGCCCTTCCAGGTTCTACTCGGTGTCGCGCAGGGTCCCCGAGTATTACGGCCCCTACTCGGCGCAGTACCCCGAGGACTTCCAGTACTACCCGCCGGGCGTGCGGCCCGACAGCATCTGCTCCATGCCCGCCTACGACCGCATCAGCCCGCCCTGGGCGCTGGAGGACAAGCGGCCCGCCTTCCGCAACGGGGGCGCGCCCGCCTACCAGCTGCGGGACTGGAAGGAGCCCGGCGGCTACGCGCGCCAGGAGGGCCCCGTGTGGCTGTCCAGCCCCTCCCGGCAGCCCGTCTTCTACGACGAGCTGGACGCGGCGGGCTCGCTGCGCCGCCTGTCCCTGCAGCCCCGCTCGCACTCGGTGCCGCGCTCGCCCAGCCACGGCTCCTACGGCCGCGCGCGCATCTACTCGCCCGCGCGCTCGCCCAGCGCGCGCTTCGAGCGCCTGCCCCCGCGCGCCGAGGACCTCTACGCCGACCCCGCGGCCTACGTCATGCGGCGCTCCATCAGCTCCCCGAAGGTGAGCGTCCCCTCCCCGGGAGAGGGGCCCTGCGGAGGGGTCGAGCCGCCGGCGAGAGACAGACGGGAGACGCAGCTTAGCTCTTGGAAGCCCCCGACCCCTAGCCCCGTTCCCAGGATGGGAGGGACCCGAACTGGGCACTGGCTCTGAGGGTGGTGCCCCGTCACGTCCTGAGGTCCAGGCCAGGTCCCCTGCAGAGAGCTGGCAGGGGATCCGATGTCCCTTTTAATTGGCCGGCTGCGCTGCACCAGGACACCAAGGTCCCCAACCTTGAGCTTCAGTCGGTGGGGAAGTCCGTGTCCACGCGGGACGCCCTCACCTCTGCAATCCCCTTTCTCTTCCAGTATGATTACCTGGGAGACAGGCGGCCAGTCCCCGCAGGACTGTTCCCCTACAACTGCCCACCATCCCCCACGGTCCACGATAAGATGGTACGTCCTTCTCCCATGCCACTGCCCCCAGGTGCCCCTGACCAGCCTCCTCCCCGGGCCCCCCACTCTAGGGATGCAGGTGCCACGTGGTTTTGAGTAACCTCTGGATTTCCCCACCCCCACCCCAATTCGGCAGCACTCCGGCCCCCATTCAGAAATTAGAACCGGTCGCCATGGGTCCCTAACCCCGCCCACCTGACAGCTCCCATCCCTGCATGCAAAGGGACCCAGACTGGGGCTGCCTTGGGGCTGGGAGGAAAAAATGAGGAAGAGCGCCCCCACAGGCTCCTGAAGGTCTCCCAGCTGGTGCCCCTGTGCATCTGGGCCCCCCCAAGGTGCTGGGGAAGGAGCCTTTCTCAGACTGGCTGCCTCAGTCATTCCCTGACTCCCCACATCCACTTTATCTGCCTGGAATTGTTTCTGAGAAATAGAGGGTGATGCAGACGCCGCCCCCTGGACAGGTGGGGCGGGTGGGGGGTGGGGGGTGGGAGGTTAGGGGGCTTAGGGGAGGTGCTGGGGGACTCACAGGCAGAGCTCACAGTAGACCCTGGTCCTCTGGGTGGGCTATTCGAAGGCTGCCCCCTGCCCCCTCACTCAGATTCTTGTCCTCTAGCCTTGGCACCCAGCCAAGGCACACCCTGAGCCACCCCCTCCTCCCCGCCCAGCATCAATTTCCAGAAAACAACACCCGCTGCCAGGAGATGCCCCAGATTTCTGGGCCGGGCTGCGCAGACCCTACTAGCCTGGATGAGTGCATCCCTCTTGCTGGGCTGTCTGGGTCAGCAGCTGTGACCCTACCCGGACCTCGTGCCCCACCCCCGCCCACCCCAGACTCCTCAAGGACTGAGTCCTGCCTTTCTCTCTCTGCCTGCTAACTCTTAACTGCTTTGCTTCCTTTCACTGTTTTTCTTTTGTTGTTCCTGTTTGTTTGTGTTGCCGTTGGGCCTCGGGCTCCTCGGGTAGGATGAACTTTTAGACCTTCAGTTGCAAAGAAACCTAGAGTATTTGGACCAGCAGGTAGGCAGAGCTGGCGCTCCCTGCCCCCACCCTCTCCTCTCCCTGGCTCCTCCTGGCCCAGTTCTCCCTTCATGTGTTGCCTTTGTTGGATCCGTTGAGATGCAACAAAGTGGCTTATATTTTGGTTTGCTCCTTCTCACTCTTCAAAGCCCTTTAGGGCAGCTGGGAGTTTCCTGGGGAAAGGGGAACAATGCCGGCCGCATGAATAATGAATGCCACCTCCAATTTGCTCCGTCCAGATGGAGCTGCCCGCAGGGGGGGGCAGGCAGGAATTTGCATTTTGGGTGGAGACAGTAGCCGGCCTCCTGCTGGGCCTAAAAGCAAGGGATTCTGGGGGGCATCTGGGAACTGATCCTATCTAGCATGTTCTGCATAATTTGTCAACTGAGGGCCACAGACCTGCCCTAGAAGAGCTTCTGAAAGGGTTAATTCAGTCTGTTTGGGAGTGTCTCTGCAAAGACCTGCTAGGCGGTGCCGGGCTGAGGCTTCATGCACATCCTGAAAAGGGCCTGGGTGTCCCCCTTGGACTCCTGGTTCCGGTGTCCACTTGCCTCAAGCCCATGGGGTTGTGCTACATCCTGGGCTCGGACTAGTCAGCGTGATGGCGTCAGTATGCTGCGTCCTAGACGTGGGCTGAGGATCACGGAGACCCTGGTCCTACGCATCCTTATTCTATGGAGGCCCCACAGCTTCCAGAACTGGGTGCTGCCCCTGTATTTTAAGGGGTTCCCAAGCGCTATGCTTTGCATGCCAGGATTTGATTCCTGTGAGACCCAGGCTTGATCCCCAGCACCACAGACACTTCCCGCCGCCTTACCAGACTGGGAGTAGCCCCTGTGTTCCGCTGGGTGTGACCCCCATAACCAAAAACAAACTCACTTAGTCCAATTCACTTAGTCTTTAGAACGCCCTTTGCAGGTGGATGCATTTAGCATCCTCTTTCATGACTGGTGAAACCAAAGCGCAGAGAGGTTAAATCTGGCCCCAAGGGCACACACACACACACACACACACACACACACACAGACACACAGACACACACACACACAGCCACTGAAAGACTGAGTTTAGGGTAAGACTAACCTGCAGCCAGGGAACGTCTGACATGGAAAGTGGCTGGAGGTGGGGCCGCAGCACGGTGATTCTGGCCCCTAAATTACAGCCAAGTTCACATAAAGAATAACGGAACCTTGAAGTCAGAGGCTGTAGCTGCAGCCGTGGGTTGTTCTGGGCACTAACCACGTGAGCACTGTCTCCAGGACCTCGTGTCTGGGAAACTGGGAAGGAGCCTGACACCTGGCAGGACACGACATTACACCTGGTGCCAGCGTGGGGTGCCCACAGAGAGCCTTTCAATCCCCGTGGGGCGGGTCCCGGGCTTGCCTAGGAAGTGGGTCCTGCAGGGGTGTCAGAGTGGGGGGATCAAGCCTCTATGCCTGTGGGCTGCTGTCAGCTCCCCTCCATGAGCCCCAGGCACCCACAGGTGTGCTTTCTGCTCACCTTTCATGGGGTGACAAGCCCACGAGGCTTCAGAAACAGGCTCTCCCAGAAACTCCTTGCTGAAGCATTGATTATGTCTCACAGCTAGGGGTGTCCCCCCCAGGCAGTGCTCAGGAGTCACTTCCTGCGGTGCTCTGGACCATATGGTGCCAGGAACAAACCCGGGCCTCCTGCCGGCTAAGCAAGTGCTCAGCCCTTTGGACAATGTTCTTAAAAGGAACTTGTACCAGCAAGAGAGCCCGGAACATAGACCGGGACAGTGTCCCTCGGTCCTTCTCTGTCCGACATGGGTCTGGCTTCTCACCTTAGCAATAGCATTCCGCCTGGGGGACCTTTGTCTTCCCAGCCATAAGATGGACACTGAGAACCTTCCCCTTCTCCCCCCCAGAGTCACGTGAGCAGCACGTGAGATGTGACACAGGACAGCACTTGGCCAGACTTCGGTGAGGGACAGTGGTGACTGCTGCAATTGTTTCATTTTCCTTTTCCTTCCAAAACTCAACTTAAAATACTGATATATTCCCCGAGTAGATCTGAAAGCAAATGGGCTGGGTACCTTCAGATCTGTTTGCTCCCTAACATTTGACAGCAGGCCTCAACGACACACACATAGATGTACACACAGCACTCACATGCACGCACACACACTCACGCACCACAAGGATAGAGTTGACTTGAATTTAGAACCTGACAGAAAAATGTGAGTGAAATTCTGCCTGATCGTTCACGGTTTTACAAAGAGTCAACTTCATAGCACGCCTGCTCTTTTGAAAGTCTTTCTTTTTGGTGGGGAGGTGCCGGTGGGGGGTGGGGGGATTGGGGGACACACCCAGTGGTGCTCCGGGCTTGCTCCTGGCTCTGTACTCAGGGCTCACTCTTGGTGGGGCTCAGGGAACCACATACAATGCTGGGCTCAAACCTGGGTCTGCAGCATGTAAGGTCAGCCCCCACCTGCTGCACATCTTAAAAGTCTTTTGAGTCGGGCTTTGCACCGTAGAAAAATTAGCAAGTGGCCAAAGGGTTGCAAAAGTCAGCTGCTTGGGAAACCTCTTGCAGACTGTAGGTCCTGCTTGGGGAGGCGGGGCGGGGGGCGGAGGGGTGCTATCCCTCACACCCTCTCCAGCACAGAGATGCATGGCTGCTTTGGTGCTGGCACCTAACAGGGCTAAGAGAAAGGAAATAAGGTAGTGCCTGACAAAGACTGGGGAAACGATGGCAAAGACAGAGGGTCCTGAGCCGTGACCCCTCGGGATCTGCCCTAAGGTGGCTCTGCCCCATCCTTCCCTGCTGCTCCTCCCCGATTCCTCTGTCCTCTCCACCTTCAGATCAGTTGAGTTAAAGAGACCCAGGCAAGGGCGCTGTGGGAGGTTTCACTTGGGGCCGCGCTCACTCTGCAACCAGCGGAGAAATGAGAATGTTCTGGAGGCATGGGGTCCACTTCCCTCCTCTTCCTGCTTCCCCTCCCCCTCCCTCCCCGCCCCTTCCTGATGGAGGGGGCGTTGGACTGCAGTGTCCCCATGCCTGGTGGCACTTTAACGCGGCTCGCTTGTCTCACCTCCTCGTTTGCTCCCTGCGTCATCCCAGACCGGCATGATGCAGCTAGCCCAGCTCTGGACACCGTGTTAGCAGTCCTGTCCACCTGAGAGCCCAGCGGGGGCCAGAGACCGCGCTCGCTTCACTGGCCAAGAGCGGGTCCGAGTTTCTCCTTTTCCACGGTTGGGTTGACATCACACTTGGGGGCTTGACTTTTCCCAGCTCAGGTGCTCCTGGACCAAAGCAGTGCGAGGAACAAGCACTGGGTGGGGTGAGGAGGTGGCATTCATGCACTCAGGAATCACTCCTGGCAGTGCTCAGGGGGCCATATGGGATGCTGGGAATTGAACCTGGGTCAGCCACGTGCAAGGCAAATGCCCTACCTGCTGTGCTATCGCTCCAGCCCCAAGGTGGCATTCCTTTTTTTTTTTTTTTTTTTTTTTTTTTTGCTTTTTGGGTCACGCTCGGCGATGCACAGGGGTTATTCCTGGCTCTGCACTCAGGAATCACTCCTGGCGGTGCTCAGGGGACCATGTGGGATGCTGGGAATTGAACCCGGGTTGGCTGCGTGCAAGGCAAATGCCCTACCCACTGTGCTATTGCTCGAGCCCCTGAAGGTGGCATTCTTGATCTGTCGGGCACCTGAACCAGGTCTCTGAGCTCAGGGCCAGGGACGCTGGACCCCCCAGCTCCCCTCTGTGGCCTCAGAGGCAGCTTCCATGCTGGCCCTGAGATGGCCTTGATGAAGTGGTGGGGGGGAGGGGGGAGGCCAGGCGCGGGGGCCAGAGACCCTCTGAGTTGCTGCTGCTCTTTGCTGTGTCTGGAAAACAACGCCAGTGACTGGGGGAGATGCCGCGGGCGGGGTGCGAGTGTGAATCGTGCGTTCCTTCCTCTGCTGCAGATGAGTGAGAGCGAGACGCTCATCACTATGGTCAACCGCATGGTGGAGAATTCCTCCCCCAGGGCCCAACTCTTCATGCAAGTAAGCCACGGTCCCGTCACCATGCTCGCTGCCTGTGCATGCTCCAGTCGGCCCATCTGGGGTGGGGCTCACTGCACCCAGCCCGCTCATCTGCCAGGCCTCATGCACCAGATTCAGCCCGACCTCCGTCCATTCTTCGCGTGCATGGGGGGAGCCCCGGGCCCATTCCCCGGACCATCCCAACCGCTGGACATCTCATACCATGCCAGGGACTGCAGATTTGCTTTGCCATGTCTTGGACTTCTACTTTATATTTGGTGTCATCTTAACAGATGTCATTGGGGTTAAGGGCATGAGGGGTGTGAGGTGGAACCAGCCAATGCCAAAGTTGTGTCGGAAATGCTGTGGTTGCGGGGTGCGTCACCAAGGCTGAGCAGCATGTGCTGGACCCAGAGACACTTCCGGTTTGGGCACAAGCCCTGTGACGTGCTCAGTCTATCAGGGTCATTGCCATGCTTGTTCCTACCACTCTCCTGTGTCTTTTCAAAAAGCAGTCACATGGGTGGCCATTGTGGTCAGGGCTGTCCCCAGTGGGCCGCCTGGTCACTGCACCCCGGAGTCCCTCTGGGCAGTAGCTCCGTGAACTGCTGGGAAAGGCCTCGCTGAGCTTTGCCTCCGTCCCAGGATCTGCCCGGGAGGATGGGCATGTGGACTAGGCTGGGCCGCCCGGCCTTCCTGGATAGGGGGACGGACAGCTATACCATAGCGTGCCGGAGCAGAAGCCGCTGTGTGACGGAGGAGAGCCTCTGGCGTGGGGCAGGGAGCTGACGCTGTAACCGGCCTCGTGTTCCTGCAGGTCCCTCCATACCCAGAAGTGTTCCGGGACAGCCTCCACACCTACAAGTTAAACGAGCAAGATACAGATGTAAGAGCAGCGCGCCTGCTCCCTTGTCCGCCCTCACCTCTCGTCCTCCCCAACCTCCGGGGTGGTGCTCCACCCTCCCCTCGCCCCTGTTCATGCATCTCACCCTGTCCTCCATCACAGTGAAGGCGCCATTCTGTCAGCCTCGCCACTCCACGTTCCTCCCCACGCCCCTCGTCTGTACATCTCGCCCCTTGGCTCCAGCCCCCAGGGCATCTGCTGTCCGGTCACCCCCATTTTTTTAACTTTCGGTCTTTGGGCCAGACCCAGAGATGCTCAGGAGTTCCTCCTGGCTCTGCACTCAGGAGTCACTGTTGGCAGTGCTCAGGGGACTGTATGGGATGCCGAGGATCGAACCTGGTTCGGCTGCGTGCAAGGCAAATGCCTGACCTCTGTCCTATTGCTCTGGCCCCATTGCCCCCATTGTTAGGAGGTCGGTCGGCTGCTCTGTGTCCACTGGGTGCTGTTCCAAGGTGTCTGAGAAGCGGGCCAAGAATAAAGCTCTGCTTTCCCTCCGTTCCCCCCGCCCCAGGGACCCCTGGGAAACTTCAGGGTAGCAGGACAGCAACTAGCAGCTTGGGGCTTGACTGCAACAAATCGGGGGGGATTGGGTCCTTGATTGGGGGGTGAGGGGCACACCCGGCGGGGCTGGGGGCTTACTCCTGTTTCTTTGGTCAGGGATTTCTCCTAGCGGGGTTTGGGGGAACCACATGTGGTACCGGGAATGGGACCTGGGCTGGCCACATGCGGGGCCAGTGCCTTGCCCGCAGTGTGGTGGGCAGGACAGTGTGGCCGGCTGCCCAGATATGGGAAGGTTCTGGACTGAGTAGAAGAGAGCTCCGGCCTCGCCTTCCTCTGACCCATGAACTGGCTTTGCCTGAGGAGTGGGTCGAGTCTGCCCAGCTTTCAGGCACCAGGGGGCCGCGGAGTCAGCCATGGAAGGAGGAGCTGGGCATTGGGGGGACGAGGAAGCATCTCGGGGTTCACAAGGGGTTTGGGAGCTGCTTGTTCAGAGCCCTGCCCCGGAGCCTCCCCAGGAAGGGGCCTGCTACCTCAGCAGGGGAAAGGAGGCATTTCCAGTGGCCCCTACCAGCCACGCCCATGTCCCCATCAGCCCCTTTCTCTCCTCCCCTCCCCACTCTCGGGCCCCCAGAAGCTGCTGGGCAAACTGTGTGAGCAGAACAAGGTGGTGAGGGAGCAGGACCGGCTGGTACAGCAGCTCCGAGCGGAAAAGGTGAGGCTCGGGATGGGCGGTGGGACGGGGAGGTGGGGGTGCAGGTGGCAGCTCCCTCCTGGCCAGCCCACGGAGCTGCCCGGCTCAGCTGTGCTGGCTCAGCAGGGCTGCCCGCAGGGGAGGCCCATCTCAGGGCCGCTCACTGCGTGCCCCGCTTTGTTCAGGAGAGCCTGGAGAGCGCCCTGATGGGGACGCACCAGGAGCTGGAGATGTTCGGCAACCAGCCCGCCTACCCCGAGAAGCTGCTGCACAAGAAGGAGGCGCTGCAGAACCAGCTCATCAACATCCGCGTGGAGCTGTCCCAGGCCTCCACGGTAATTGCCCCGCCAGGCCTGACACCTTTGGTCCTCAGGGGCAGGGGCTCGGAGGGGCACAGGCACGGTGCTTACCGAGGGGCCTGCCAGATATGCCCCTGCTCATTCCATCCCAGCAAACTCTGTCTCGAACAAGTTCGTTTGGGACGGCCTGAAGTCAGAGCTACTGTGCCCTTGAAGCATTTTGCTGCCACCCTCTCCCGTCCACTAGAGAACCAGCCATGGGCAAAGCCAGTGCATTGTCCCAGCCTGCTCCTGGGGGAGCAGCAGAAATCCCCAAAAAATGTGACCAAGGAGGAGGAAGGGGTTGGACAAACACAGTCTCTGGCTCGTTTCTCTTTAAAAAGAAAAAAAAAACTTTTATCCCCCTTCCTTCCCTGTGCTGTTGTTTGGCTGCGGTGCTCGGGACATGTGGGTGCGGCTGGGCCTCAGACTTGGGCCCTCGTGCTCGCAAGGCAGGGACTTTGCCGCTCAAGGGTCCACAGGCCCCGGGCTCTTCTCTTTGACGCGTCCTCTGCTTTAAGCAGCTGGTCTGGGGCAACCAGCAGGGTGATGGGGCCCCTCTGGCCCAGCTATGTTGGGAGACCCGGATTTTCTCTCTGTCCTTTGGGCTTGCTGTGGCTGAGCCTCTTGGCAGGCCAGTGTTTGGCTCCAAGCCCCAGGGCAGGACAAGCAGCAGGGTTGGGGGGTGGCGGCTGACTCAGCGAGCCCTCGCCCCCTCTTAGGCCCTGGCGAACAGCACCCTGGAGTACGAGAACCTGGAGACAGAGGTCTCGGCCCTGCACGATGACCTCTGGGAGCAGCTTAACCTGGACAATCAGGTGAGGAGCGCGTGGAGACTGGGGACGGGTGCGGGAAGAGCCCTCTCGTGGTCTCTGGAGCCCAAAGGATGCCAGAGCGACTTCATTCCTTGTTTTAGGGGGCTCCAAGACGTAAGAGGAGGAAGGGGGTTTCTGGGAGTGGATCAAAGGGCTGGAGGACAAGCTCCACCTGCAGGAATCTCAGCCTCAGTCCCCAGCTCGGCCTGACGCTCCCAAGTACTGTCCCCCGCAGACAGACGGGCAAGGACAGTCAGGGCCACCTGATATGGGTTCTCAGTTCCAGGGCGATGCTGATGGAGGGCTTTGCTCTCACGCCATCAGCTGTCGGGATGAGCTAATGGCAAGGTGGGAGAGTGGGGTGAGGCCCTACTCATGCCTGCCGGCAAGGATTTGACACTGGGTGTTGTCTGCGGGGTAGAGGGGGCCTCCGTGGTATGAGGCGCCAAGTCTAGCGGCACTGAGCTGGGAGACGCTTGCTTGCTTGCTTGCTTCTTTTCTTTTCTTTTCTTTTCTTGTCACACCCGGCGATGCTCAGGGGTTACTCCTGGCTCATGCACTCAGGAGTTATTCCTGGCTGTGCTCAGGGGACCATATGGGATGCTGGGAATCGAACCCGGGTTGGCTGCGTGCAAAGCAAATGCGCTACCCACTGTGCTATTGCTCCTGCCCCAGGAGACGCTATATTTTCTGAGCTAGGTGAGAAGCATACTGGGAGGCAGGAGAATGGACAGGTAGATCGTGGGGCGTTCAGGTGTTCCCCAGATCCTGCCCTGTCTCTGCCCAGGCTCTGCTGCTGCTTCCTTTCTGGTAGCAAAGCTCAGCACCCCGACCTCACGGCTGGGGAGGTGGGTGAGTGCCGAGTGCCCAAGTCCCGTGGGCCGGCTTTCTATAACGTGAGGCACTGATAGGCAGGGCAGTGCCATGCCCTTGAGGGCACGGGCCCAGTGCAGTCAATGAACACACACCTGCTAGCCCGGGTATGACTTCTCTTCGGTGACGTGGGTACAGCCCTTGTCTCTTGAATTGTGCAGTGGGAATTCCTTAGTTTCTCATGCACTGAGCATAGCACCAGCCCAGGGGTGCACAGAAATGACAATTGCTATTGTGGCGGGGGCACACCCAGTGGTGCTCAGGGTCTATGCCTGGTTCTGCACTCAGGGATCACTCCTTGAGGACTTGGGGACCATATGGGGTGCCAGGGATTGAACCCAGGTTGGCTGTGTGCAGGGCAATCATCCTCTGCCCCCACCCGTGATATACTATCATTCTGGCCCTAGACAACTATCTTTTTTAGGGCAGATACTGTAGTGGAATATAATTCACCAGTTTCTAGACCTATTTTTGGGTGTTGCCAAAGGGCTGTTCAGAGTGAAGAAAATTAGCACATTTGGAAGCTCCAGTCTTTTCTGAAGCATCTCTCTGGGGTCAGGAAATAGATCTCCCAAAGGGCTGGAGCACTTGCAGGAGTCCGGGTTTGATCCCTTACACCTCATGGCGTGCGCCCCACAGAAGTATCTTCTGAGGGGACCACTCTGGTCTCCCCTTGGGTCACTCTAAGCAGCTGGTGTGACTCTAGGTTTCTGAATTTCCCCCAAACTCGCTGGATTTACTGTAAGGACAAAGCCCTCTCCTCAGCCAACTCAGGGCCATTTGTGAGGGCAGAGAAAGATGAATCTGATGGGGCGTTATTCATCTATCAGAGATGGTTGGGGTGTATGGAGTGCTATGCGGGGGGAGATGTCTGTGGAAGTCTATGGTGGGGAAGTGAGGGTGTGGGTGTAAGTGTGGAGATATGGTATGGTATGGGGAAGAGGTGGGAGAACAGGGTATGCATGATGGGTGGTGTACGTGGTGTGGGTGTGGGTGTGGATAGAGAAAGGGGTCTGCGTGGATGACAGCATGCAGAGTGGTAGGGAGATTTATAGGCTCTGTGCATGTACACATGTGTGCTGTGTGCATGCATATGCATGGTGCATCTATGTGTGTGTGTATGTGTGCACTTATATGTGTGTGTTCTGTGTGCATGTTTGTGTATACCTGCGAATGTGTGCATGTGCTGTGTGCATCTATATGTGTGAGTGCATGTGTGCGTGCATGTGTATATGGCACACATGCTTGTGTATATGTACGCACACACGTGTGCTGTGTGCATGTATGTGTACGCATGTTCGTGTGATTGCATGTGTGTGCATTCATGTGCATACACACACATGCCAACTCTTCACCCAGAGGCTAGAGAGAGGCGGCACCCCCCGGTGGCTCTCCTGACCACTCTGTGTCTTTAGAATGAGGCGCACAGTCGGCAGATCCAGAAGGAGATCTGGAGGATCCAAGACGCTATGGAGGGGCTGAGGAAGAACAACCCATCCCGGGGCACCGACACCGCCAAACACAGAGGTGGGCACCGTCTCCCGCCGCCTGGCCTCAGCAGAAACGCTGCGGGTCTCTGGCCTCCACCCCACAGCTGCACACAGGCCTCCCCAGAACTTTTCCTGGGTACCAGGTGGCGGCCCTCAGGCGGGCTCTCCACCCACCTACACCTCCTGGGAAAGGCTTCACCTGTGACTCGCCTGTGTCTCACCTGTGCTCACCTGTGTACAACCTGTACTTCACCTGACCTCATTTGTGTCCCACCTGTGTCCCACCTGTACCTCACCTGCTTCCCCTCTGTGACCCACCTGTACCTCACCTGTCTCACCTTTGCATCAGCTGTGCCTCACCTTTGCCTCACCTGTACCTCACCAGTGTCTCACCTGTACCTCACATTTATCTCGCCTGTGCCTCACCTGTGCCTCTCTTTTCTCGCCTGTTCCTTGCCTGTCCCTCTCCTATGTCTCACTAGTGCCTCACCAGTGCCTCACCTGTACCTACCTGTGCCTAACCTGTGCCTCACCTGTACCTCGCCTGTCCCTTGACTGTCCCTCTCCTATACCTCACTAGTGCCTCACCAGTGCCTCGTCTGTACCTCACCTGTGTCTCGTCTGTACCTACCTGTGCCTAACCTTTGCCTCACCTGCACCTCGCCTGTCTGTCTCACCTGTTTCTCGCTTGTACCTCACTTGTGTGTCTCCTATGCCTCGCCTGTGCCCCACCTGTACCCCGGCTGTACCGCCTGTGCCCTGCCTGTACCTCGCCTGTGCCCCACCTGTATCTCTCATATCTCACCTGTACCTCTCCTGAGCCTCACCTGTACCTCACCTGTGTTGCCTGTACCTCACCTGTGTCACCTGTACCAAGCCTGTGCCTTGCCTGTACCTCATCTGTGTCTCGCCTATACCTTGCCTGTGTCTTACTTGTCTTGCCTGTACCTCACCTGTCTTGCCTGTACTTCATTTGTGTCTCTCCTAAGCCTCACCTGAGCCTCACCTGTACCTCACCTGTATCTTGCCTATACCTCGCCTGTACCTAGCCTGTATCTTACCAGTATATCACCTATGTCTCACCTGTGCCTTGCCTGTGTCTCACTTGTGCCTCACATGTATCTTGCTTGTGCCTCACCTGTACCTTGCCTGTCTCACCATACGTCACCTGTACGTTGCCTGTACGTAGCCTGTACATTGCTTGTGGCTTGCCTGTGCCTCGCCTGTACCTCACCTGTGTCTCACCTATCTCACCTGTGCTTTGCCTTTGCCTCGCCTGTGCCTCACCTGTCCCTCATCTGTACCTCGTCTTTATCATCTGTCTTGCCTGTGCCTCACCTGTAACTCACCTGTACCTCATCTGTGCCTCGCCTGTAGCTCACCTGTACAAGCCTGTGCCTTGCCTGTACCTCACTATGCCTTGCCTTAGCTTCACCTGTGCCTTGCTTTAGCCTTGCCTTAGCCTTGCCTTAGCCTCGCCTGTGCCTCTCCTGTTTTCGCCTGTACCTCGCCTGTGCCTCACCTGTACCTTGCCTGTGTCTTGCCTGTGTCTCTCCTGTAACTCACCTGTACCAATCCTGTGCCTTGCCTGTACCTCATCTATGTCTTGCCTGTACCTTGCCTGTGTCTCCTATGCCTCACCTGAGCCTCGCCTGTCTCACCTGTACCTCACCTGTACCTCGCCTATACCTCACCTGTGTCTTGTCTACCTTGCCTGTACCTTGCCTGTACCTTATCAGTGCCTCACCTGTGTCCACCTGTGCCTCACCTGTTCTCACCTGTGCCTTGCCTGTGCCTCACCTGTGCCTCTCCTATACCTTACCTGCACCTTGCCTATGCCTCACCTGTACCTCTTCTATGCCTCACCTGTGTCTCATTGTACTTCACCTTGTTTCGCGTGTACTTTGCCTGTCTCACCTGTACTTCACGTGTGGCTTGCCAGTACCTCACCTGTGTCTCGCCTGCGCCTCACCTGTGCCTTGCCTGTACCTTGCCTGTGTGTCAGCTGTGCCTCACCTGTAACCTACCACTGCCTTGCATGTACCTTACCTGTACCTCGGCCTGTGCCTTACCTGTGCCTCGCCTGTATCTAACCTGTATCTCACTATCTCGCCTGTGCCTCACCTGTGTCTCACTTGTCTTGACTGTCTCACCTATGTCTCACCTGTACCTTACCTGTACCTCACCTGTGTTTCGCCTGTACCACACCTGTCTTGCCTGTGCCTCACCTGTGCCTCGCCTGTGCCTCACTTGTACCTTGCCTGTGTCTCACCTATATCTCGACTGTGTCTCACCTGTCTTGACCGTCACCTGTCTCGCCTGTAGCTCACCTGTACCTCGCCTGTACCTCACCTGTGTCTCACCTGTACCTCGCCTGTACCTCACCTGTATCTCACCTCTATTGCCTGTACCTCACCTGTGTTTTGCCTGTACCTCGCCTGTGTCTCACCTGTGCCTCACCTGTACTTACCTATACCTCACCTATACCTTTCCTGTGTTTCAGTTGTCTTGCCTGTATCACCGGTATCTCACTAGTACTTCACCTGTGTCTTGCCTGTACCTCACCTGTTCTTCGCCTGTGTTTCGCCTGTGCATTGCCTGTACTTCGCCTGTGTCTCGCCTGTGCCTCACCTGTACCTCGCCAGTGTCTTGACGGTGCCTTGTCTGCGCCTCACCTGTGCCTCACCTGTCCCTTGCCTGTGTCTCGCTTGTACCTCACCTGCACCTCACTTGTGTCTCTGCTGTACCTCTCCTTTGTCTCACCTGTACCTCACCTGTATCTCACCTCTATTGCCTGTACCTCACCTGTGTCTTGCCTGTACCTCACTTGTACTTCGCCTGTGTTTCACCTGTACATTGCCTGTGCTTTGCCTGTGTCTCACCTGTGCCTCGCCTGTACCTCGCCTGTGTCTTGCCAGTGCCTCGTCTGCGCCTCGCCTGTGCCTCACCCGTCCCTTGCCTGTGTCTCGCTTGTACCTCACCTGCACCTCACTTGTGTCTCTGCGGTACCTCTCTTGTTTCACCTGTACCTCACGTACCTCACCTCTATTGCCTGTATCTCACCTGTGTCTTGCCTGTACCTCACCTGTACTACGCCTGTGTTTCACCTGTACCTTGCCTGTACTTCGCCTGTGTCTCGCCTGTGCCTCGCCTGTACCTCGCCTGTGTCTTGTCTGTGCCTCGTCTGCGCCTCACCTGTCTCTTGCCTGTGTCTCGCTTGTACCTCACCTGCACCTCACTTGTGTCTCTGCTGTACCTCTCCTTTGTCTCACCTGTACCTCACCTGTTTCTCATCTGTAGCTCGCCTGTGTCTCATCTGTGCCTCGCTGGTCTCATCTGTGCCTCATCTGTCACCTGTACTTCGCCTGTACCTTGCCTGTACTTCACCTGTACCTTGCTTGTGTCTCGCCTGAACCTCGCCTGTATCTTACCCGTGTCTCATCTCTACCTCACCTGTACCTCATCTGTCTCACCTGTACCTCACCTCTGTCTAGCCTATACCTCGCCTGTGTCTCACCTGTGACTTGCCTGTACCTCTCCTGTCCCTCGCTGTGCCTCACCTGTCTTGCCTGTACCTCACTTATGCCTTGCCTGTACCTCACCTATGTCTCACCTGTGTCTCACCTGTGTCTCATCTGTACCTCGCCTGTGTATCGCCTGTGCCTCACCTTGCCTCACCATTTCCTCTCCTGTGTCTCGCCTGTGCCTCACCAGTATCTCACCTGTGCCTTATGTGCCTTACCTGTGCCTCGCATGTGCCTCACCTGTGTCTCACCTGCACCTCACCTGTGTCTCGCCTCTACCTCGCCTCCACCTCACCTGTGCCTCACCTATATTGCCTGTACCTCACCAGTGTCTGGCCTGTTCTTCACCTGTGTCTTCTGTGCCTCACCTGTTACCTACCCTATTCCTCACCTGTACCTTGCCTGTGTCTCACCTGTGCCTTGCCTATGTCTTACCCCTACCTCACCTGTGTCACCTGTTCCTCTATCTCACCTGTTTCTCACCTGTTTCTCACCTCTACCTCATCTGTACCTCACCCGTACCTCCTCTGTCTTGCCTGTTCCTCGCCTGTGTCATGCCTGTACCTCACCTGTGCCTCACCTGAGTCTCACTTGTACCTCACCTGTGCCTCACCTATATTGCCTGTACCTCACCAGTGTCTGGCCTGTTCTTCACCTGTGTCTTCTGTGCCTCACCTGTTACCTACCCTATTCCTCACCTGTACCTTGCCTGTGTCTCACCTGTGCCTTGCCTATGTCTTACCCCTACCTCACCTGTGTCACCTGTTCCTCTATCTCACCTGTTTCTCACCTGTTTCTCACCTCTACCTCATCTGTACCTCACCCGTACCTCCTCTGTCTTGCCTGTTCCTCGCCTGTGTCATGCCTGTACCTCACCTGTGCCTCACCTGAGTCTCACTTGTACCTCGCCTGTGTCTCATCTGTACCTCACCTGTGTTTCACCTGTCTTACCTGTACCTCACTTGTGTCTTGCATGTACTTCTCCTGTGCCTCGCGGGTGCCTCACCTGTGTCTCTCTACCTCACCTGTCTCGCCTGTGCCTCACCGGTACCTCGCCTGTGTCTTGCCTGTGCCTTGTCTGCGCCTCGCCTGTGCCTCACCTGTCCCTTGCCTGTGTCTCGCTTGTACCTCACCTGCACCTCACTTGTGTCTCTGCTGTACCTCTCCTTTGTCTCACCTGTACCTCACCTGTATCTCACCTCTATTGCCTGTACCTCACCTGTGTCTTGCCTGTACCTCACTTGTACTTCGCCTGTGTTTCACCTGTACCTTGCCTGTACTTCGCCTGTGTCTCGCCTGTGCCTCGACTGTACCTCACCTGTGTCTTTTCTGTGCCTCGTCTGCGCCTCGCCTGTGCCTCACCTGTCCCTTGCCTGTGTTTTGCTTGTACCTCACCAGCACCTCACTTGTGTCTCTGCTGTACTTCTCCTTTGTCTCACCTGTACCTCACCTCTATTGCCTGTACCTCACCTGTGTCTTGCCTGTACCTCACCTGTACTTCGCCTGTGTTTCGCCAGTACCTCGCCTGTACTTCGCCTGTGTCTCACCTGTGCTTCGCCTGTGTCTTGCCTGTGCCTCGCCTGTACCTTGCCTGTGTCTTGTCTGTACCTCACCTGTACTTCGCCTGTGTTTCACCTGTACCTTGCCTGTGCTTCGCCTGTGTCTCGCCTGTGCCTCGCCTGTACCGCTCCTGTGTCTTGTCTGTGCCTCGTCTGCGCCTCACCAGTGCCTCACCTGTCCCTAGCCTGTGTCTCGCTTGTACCTCACCTGCACCTCACTTGTGTCTCTGCTGTACCTCTCCTTTGTCTCACCTGTACCTCACCTGTACCTCACCTCTATTGCCTGTACCTCACCTGTGTCTTGCCTATACCTCACCTGTACTTCGCCTGTGTTTCGCCTGTACCTTGCCTGTACTTCACCTGTGTTTCGCCTGTGCCTCGCCTGTACCTCGCCTGTGTCTTGTCTGTACCTCACCTGTACCTCGCCTGTTTCGCCTGTACTTTGCCTGTGCTTTGCCTGTGTCTCGCCTGTGCCTCGCCTGTACCTCGCCTGTGTCTTGTCTGTGCCTCGTCTGCGCCTCACCTGTGCCTCGCCTGTCCCTTGCCTGTGTCTCGCTTGTACCTCACCTGCACCTCACTTGTGTCTCTGCTGTACCTCTCCTTTGTCTCACCTGTACCTCACCTGTACCTCACCTCTATTGCCTGTACCTCACCTGTGTCTTGCCTGTACCTCACCTGTACTTCGCCTGTGTTTCGCCTGTACCTTGCCTGTACTTCGCCTGTGTCTCGCCTGTGCCTCGCCTGTACCTCGCCTATGCCTTGTCTGTACCTCACCTGTACTACGCCTGTGTTTCACCTGTACCTTGCCTGTACTTCGCCTGTGTCTCGCCTGTGCCTCGCCTGTACCTCGCCTGTGTCTTGTCTGTGCCTCGTCTGCGCCTCACCTGTGCCTCACCTGTCTTGCCTGTGTCTCGCTTGTACCTCACCTGCACCTCACTTGTGTCTCTGCTGTACCTCTCCTTTGTCTCACCTGTACCTCACCTGTTTCTCATCTGTAGCTCGCCTGTGTCTCATCTGTGCCTCGCTGGTCTCATCTGTGCCTCATCTGTCACCTGTACTTCGCCTGTACCTTGCCTGTACTTCACCTGTACCTTGCTTGTGTCTTGCCTGAACCTCGCCTGTATCTTACCCGTGTCTCACCTCTACCTCACCTGTACCTCATCTGTCTCACCTGTACCTCACCTCTGTCTAGCCTATACCTCGCCTGTGTCTCACCTGTGACTTGCCTGTACCTCTCCTGTCCCTCGCTGTGCCTCACCTGTCTTGCCTGTACCTCACTTGTGCCTTGCCTGTACCTCACCTATGTCTCACCTGTGTCTCACCTGTACCTCGCCTGTGTATCGCCTGTGCCTCACCTTACCTCACCATTTCCTCTCCTGTGTCTCGCCTGTGCCTCACCAGTATCTCACCTGTGCCTTATGTGCCTTACCTGTGCCTCGCATGTGCCTCACCTGTGTCTCACCTGCACCTCACCTGTGTCTCGCCTCTACCTCGCCTCCATCTCACCTGTGCCTCACCTATATTGCCTGTACCTCACCTGTGTCTGGCCTGTTCTTCACCTGTGTCTTCTGTGCCTCACCTGTTACCTACCCTATTCCTCACCTGTACCTTGCCTGTCTCATCTGTGCCTTGCCTGTCTTACCCCTACCTCACCTGTGTCACCAGTTCCTCTATCTCACCTGTTTCTCACCTGTTTCTCACCTCTACCTCATCTGTACCTCACCCGTACCTCCTCTGTCTTGCCTGTTCCTCGCCTGTGTCATGCCTGTACCTCACCTGTGCCTCACCTGAGTCTCACTTGTACCTCGCCTGTGTCTCATCTGTACCTCACCTGTGTTTCACCTGTCTTACCTGTACCTCACTTGTGTCTTGCATGTACTTCTCCTGTGCCTCGCCTGTGCCTCACCTGTGTCTCTCTACCTCGCCTGTGTCTTGCCTGTGCCTCACCTGTATCTCGCCTGTGCCTCGCCTGTGTTTTACCCATACCTCACCTGTGTCTCAACTATGTCTCGCCTCTATTTCACCTGTTCTCGCCTGTACCTCACTTCTGTCTTGCTTGTGCCTCACCTGTACCTCACCTATGTCTCACCTGTACTTCACCTGTCTCCCCTGTGTCTCACCTGTGTCTTGCCTGTACCTCACTGGTGTCCCACCTGTGCCTCACTTACACCTCCAGGTCCCGGCCAAGGCACCCATAGGCAAACCTGCTCTTGTTTCTGACTCCTCAGAGGCAGCCCTGTGGTGTCCATCTGGCCTCCCCACACCCAGCAGCCCAGGTGGCCTGAGACCCTGCATTCTCTCTCCCTCCTGCAGCCTCATCTCTCGCCTCTTCTCTCCCAGGAGGCCCGGGCCCCTCGGCCAGCTACAGCTCCAACAGCCCTGCCAGCCCGCTCAGCTCCGCCAGCCTCACCAGCCCCTTGAGCCCCTTTTCACTCATGTCTGGTTCTCAGGGGTCCCCCACCAAGCCCGGGTCGAGTGAGGTAAGCTGAAAAAATGGAGCAGAAGGTAGGTGTGTGTGCCTGCAGGGGTGACAGGGCCTTCCTCTCGGCCGCACCCCCAGGCCTCCAGGCCTGGCGCGTCTCTTTGAGGGACCGTTGCCTTTCTCATCGCTTCGCTTTTCTCCTCTGTCTGCTGGGGCCTTCCCAGCTGTGTCCTCGTGAGCCGATGCCCAGTGCTGCCAGGACCTGGACTCCAGGGTGGCTTCTGGGAGAGGGCTGGGGGCAGTGTGGGAGCAGCTCATGCCCTGCTGGTCAGCAGGGTGGGGACAGACGCCAGAGCCCCTGGGGGACACCATACACTCCCACGGCCTTTCCTCTCCCGGTCAGTGTCCAGTGGGGGCCAAGCCCAAGGGACAGCCTTGAGATGCTGCCCATGGGTTCCAGCAAAGGTCAGATGAGACACTCAGACCTCCTAAGAGACTCAGCCCAGCCCTGCGTGGGCAGTGCTGTAGATGGAAGCGGGGGCTGAGAGCCGGCCAGGAGTGTGCTGGATGGCCGGGTGGCGGCAAGGAGAATCTGGGTGGATGGGAGGGGGAGAGGCATGAGGGGTGGGGAGCTGGTGCCCCATCGGGCCGAGGGCGGTGGTGGGCCCTTGGCGTGCGTGCGTCCTGCTAATGTTCTTCTCTCCTACCTCACAGCCGCGCGTCTTGCTCCTCCTCACTCTCTGGCTTCTCTCTGCCTCAGGAACCCGGGCCGCCACGGCCCCCCCCTCCCCAAAGCCTACATCCCCCTGGAGTCTCCTCCTACTGTACCTCCACTCCCTAGCGAGAGCCGCTTCTGGCCGTACCCCACCTCCCCTTCCTGGCACCGCGGTGGCGAGACAGCCAGGGGTCAGGTACCCAGCACCGCGGGGTCCTGGGCAGGGGTGAGGAGGGGCGGAGGGGCCCGGGCAGGGGTCTCCTCACACCTCAGTCCCCCTGTGCCCTCTGCCTCGCTGGGCGTCAGGAGGGGCTCAGCGGCTCTGCCCCTTTGCTCTCTGCAGATGACAGGAACCCAGTGGCCACCCCTTCCCAGGCTCCCAGTGGCTGGGGGTGGGGGAGTGGGATTTCCCTCACTTCTACCAACATGACCAGATGTGGGAACTGAATGAGCTCCACCCTTGTGACCCCCCCAGAGCCATTCCACACCCTCATCCCCCTCATTCTCAGATGTGTCTGCCTGTATCTCTGCGGTCTGTCTCGTCAGCCCCCGGCGCGGACGAGTTCAGGCCTTTGTCTCCTTCCTCTGGGTCCTTTGCACACCTGGGTTCTTAGTCAGGATCCAGGGCGACGTGCCCCGAGGTGGGGCAGAGCATGCTGGGTAAGCAGGGAGTCCTGAGCCTCCGTCAGTGTCCCACGGTCTCCTTGGAGCTGGGGGCGTGGAAAGTGCTCCGTGAGTGATGCCTCGCTCTGCAGATGGAGGAGGGAAAGACTCCTACGTGCCTTTTCTCCTCTTGGGGCCAAACTCAGGGCTTCCTCCTGGCTCTGCACTCAGGGATCACTCCTGGCAGGCTCAGGGAACCAGATGAGATGCCGGGGATGGAACTGGGGTCGGTTGTGTGTGTGGCGAGGGAACCTCCCTGCCCGGGACCTGCTCCCCTTTGCTTTTTGGTTGGGCTCTCACTACCTGTTTTCTTTCTGCATCACCCTTGCTGAGTTCTTCATGGCGCCTGGGGTGGGGATGCTCAGGCACTTCTGAGCCCTTCCAGGCTTACAGCTCTGGGCTTTTCTCTCATAACCTCCGAGCCCTGAGCTCACCCAGTTCTTTTGCTTTGGTCCTGGGCAGGATTCTAATAGGGTCATTCTCAGAGATTGCTGGTGGCCATTCCCAGGCCCTTCCTCCCATGCTGGCTCGCAGGGCAGATTTCTGGGTGCAGGTCGAGAGGGTGGGGTGGGCTAAGCATCCTTTCTGGGTCTCCTGGGGACCCTCTTGGCCCTCCTAAAGCTGGCATGGTGGGTGGCTCGTCCACCCCGCCACATGCCCGTGGGCAGTTTCTTTCCTGGCTAGTTTCCCCAAGGAAACTCCAGCCTGCACAGAACAAAGCAGGAAGGGCCAGTGGCAGCGGTCCCTGCAGCCTCTCCATCTCTCACCCCTCCCAGCAAAGCAAAAAAGATGCCCAGCAGACAGCGCCCCCGGACGCCTCGAGAGACACCAGCAGGCTAGAGGCGGAGGCCGAGAAGCAGGCGGCTCTCAACAAAGGTACTCGAGTGCCAACTTGGACGGGGCTGGGGTGGGGAGGGGGCTCTATTTCTGTCCCCTCGGCTCTGCTCCCCACCTTCCCGCTCAGCACCAGCCCCACAGGCAGCTCTTGTCTCCCTGCAGTTGGCGTCGTGCCTCCTCGGACGAAGTCACCCACCGACGAGGCAGGGACCCCCTCCAGGGTGGTGAGAAGAAATGGCAACGGGCTAGCCAACGGTCTCTCTCCCCGCGTGAGTGCCCCCGGCCCATGCTGTCTGCCCGGTCTGTGTCCCCCCTCAGCCCCCCATGATCCCTGCTGCCCAAGAGACCTGGGGTGCATGGGGACAGGGGACAAGAGAGGGAGATGTTCTCCAGGAGACACACCAAGGGGCAGCCACGTCCGTCACACTCAGCGCTGAGACACCCGTGTTCCCCCGTGGCCTGGAGCAAGAGTCCAAATGGGATGCCAGGCAGGCTGGCCCTGCCTCTCTCGCACTTGATCTCTCTGACTTTCCTCCCGTTCTCGGCCTCACCCTCACACCACTCTCCAACAGTCTGCTTTCCTACCCCTGTTCTTGGGTTTCACCCCCTGCCCCCATTCTAACTCAGGGTCTCATCTTGACGTCCGAACTTAGTTGCATCTGCAAGGATCCCTTTTTTTGTTTGTTTGATTTGGAGTCACACCAGGCAGTGCTCAGGGCTTAGTCCTGGCTCTGTGCTCAGGAATCACTCCTGGTGGTGTTCAGGTACCATACTGGGTACCAGGGATTGAACCCAGGTCGGCCACATGCAGGGCAAGCACCCTCCCCGCTGCGCTATCACTCAGAGATAGGATCCCATTTTTACAAAATAAGGTGTCGATCCCAGCTATCGGACACAGGTCTTTGGTGGGGGGGGCACTACATGACTAGAAAGCAGGCTTCTCTGGCCTCACATGCTGAGGGAAAAGGCAGCTCAGATAGAGAAGGGACCACCAAGTAAAGGGTGCTTGGAGGGCCCACTCGGGATGGTAGGTGCGAGCTGAAAGTAGACTATAGACCGAACATGATGGCCACTCAATACCCATATTGCAAACCACAACACCCAAAAAGAGAGAACAAAAGGGAGTGCCCTGCCACAGAGGTGGGGTGGAATGGGGGGGGGTGGGGGGTGGGAGGGATATTGGGATTAGTGGTGGTGGGGAATGGGCACTGGTGGAGGGATGGGTACTCAATCATTGTATGACTGAAACGTAAGCATGGAAGTTTGTAAGTCTGTAACTGTACCTCATGGTGATTCATGAAAGAAAGAAAGAAAGGAAGGAAGAAAGAAAGAGAGAAAGAAAGAAAGAGAAAGAAAAGGAAGAGAAAGAAAGAAGGAAGGAAGAGAAAGAAAGAAAGAAAGAAAGAGAAAGGGAGAAAGAAAGAAAGGAGAAAAGAAAGAAAGAGAGAAAGAGGAGAGAGAAAAAGAAAGAAAAAAAGAAAGAAAGAAAGAAAGAAAGGGAGAAAGAAAGAAAGGAGGAAAGAAAGAAAGAAAGAAAGAAAGAAAGAAAGAAAGAAAGAAAGAAAGAAAGAAAGAGGAAGGAAGGAAGGAAGGAAGGAAGGAAGGAAGGAAGGAAGGAAGGAAAGCAGGCTTCTTGGGGAAGGGAGACTTGAAGCAATCAAGGGGTGGAAAAGCTTGGGGAGCAAGGCTGCCCGCTGAGAGCCCCTCTCCCCCTCTGCAGCAGGAGCGCCCCAAAAGTGCTGTGTTCCCCGGGGAGGGCAAAGTGAAGATGAGTGTGGAGGAGCAGATCGACCGCATGCGGCGACACCAAAGTGGCTCCATGAAGGAGAAACGCCGGAGCTTGCAGCTCCCGGCCAGCCCGGCCCCGGAGCCCAGTCCCCGGCCCATGTACAAAGTGGTAATGTCCTCCCCCCCGCGGCCAGGGTGGGCATCTGAGAGGGAGGAGCTGGGAACCCAAGGAGCTGAGGGGCGCGGCCAGGCAGGAGACAGGCAGCTAGCGTGTCCTTCTTAGGTTCAGGGAAGCGGCCAGGGAGACAGTTGGGGGGCTGGAGCACGGGTCTGGCCTGTGTGTGGCCCTGAGCTCCGGTGGGAGGGGCCCAGGTCATCTCAAGCATTGCTGGGCTTGAGCATTGGGCCCCACTGAGCTAGAGAGGCGTCTGTGTGAAAAGAAAGAAAGGGAAAAGGAGCTGGAGAGAGAGTAAACAGGTAGTTGACCCAGGTCTGATCCCTGACACTTTATAAGGTATAAAGACACTTTATAAGTTCTGCCAGGAGTGACCCCTGACTGCAGAGCCAGGAGTAAGCCCTAAGAAGTGCCAGGTGTGGCCCCCCAATTAAAACAAAAAATTTTTTTAATAAATAAAAACAGGAAGGGGCTGGAGCCACAGTACAGCGGGTAGGGCGTTTGCCTTGCACGCGGCCGACGTGGTTCGATTCCCAGCATCCCATATGGTCCCCGGAGCACCGCCGGGAGTAACTCCTGAGTGCAGAGCCAAGAGTAATCCCTGAGCATCGGCGGGTGTGACCCCCCCCCAAAAGAAATAAAAATAAATAAATAAATAAAAATAGGAAGAAAAAGAACTCACACAAAGGAACGCTTCTCATTTGGGATGAAGTTAATGAGATACAATTCAGTTCGCTGAAGATTGTCTAGTATTCATCACGCAGAAATAACGTTCTTATTTTTGGCGGGGGTGGGGGGAGACGCACATAGTGATGATGCTCAGAGCCAGTGCAGACTCCTGGCTCTGCACTCAGGAGTCAGTCCTGGCGGGGCTCGGGAGACCAGATGGGATGCTGGGAATCGAACATGGCTTGGCCGCATGCAAGGCAACCCCCTCTCTGCTGTACTGCTGCCCCAGCCAGGAATATCTTTCTCTTGGACACGATTTTGAAGCATTTCTGTGGGCTCTGGGCAGCTCTGCAGACTCCTCAGCACTCAGCATTGCCTGGTGCTCCAGTTCCTGAGCCCTTCCATCCACGAGGCCTTCCCACCACACCTGTCAGGAGTTCTTATCTTGGTTTCAGGTGGAATTTTACTTTTGTTTTTGTTTCAGTGGCATCAGGAAAAACCAAACTTGGGCATGCAAGGCAAATGCACTGAGCCACACCGCTGTCAAAAACCCAAAGAATACCATCTTTCTTTCTTTGCTTGTTTTATTTTGGGGTTAGACCTGGTGCTTCTCTGGGCATACTCCTGGCTCTGTGCTCGGGGAAACTTATGGGGTGCTAGGGGGTCAAACTTGGGTTATCTGAATGCAAGACAAGCACCCTGCCCGCTGTTCTCTCTCCAGCCCCACCATCTTTTTTTCTTTCCTTTTTTTTTTCCGGCCACACCCATCAGTACTCAGGTGCTCAGGGATCACTCCCCGCAGCCTGGTGCTCAGGGAACCAGGCCGTGCCAGGGATCCAACCTCGTTTCCTGCACACAGGCCCGCCCTCAGCCCACAGAAGGTCCCTCCAACCTTGCCCCGTTTCAGAGGCCAGGACACACAGTCACAGGAAGTCAAGGGCTTCTTGGGCTCCACAGCTAAGTGCAGAATTGGCATCTTCAAGACATCAAATTTTCCTTCTCACTCAATGTCAGAACTACAGAAAAATGATGGCCCCTAAGTCCTGCCTCTCATTTTACTCTGACTGGTGGGCTGGAATGTCGATAATGTGGAACTCTAACATGAAAGTCTCTGTGTGGCGTAGTCTAGCCCTCAGGCGGTCAGTAAGAGGTCAGTGTAAGACATGGGGGTTCCACACCCCCAGTAAAGGCACAGACAAGAAGTCAGGGTCCAGTAGGCCTGGGAAGAGATACCCTGGACAGTTCCTTCGCGGCTGGCCAGGCTCTTGGCATGGGTTTCCGGGGCAATGGGGTGCAGGTGGCCAGTGTGGACTATGGGCCCAGGCCCCGGGAGGTGACCGTGCTATGCTCTAGGTGCGCCGGCATCGCAGCACCCATGAGGTGGACATCTCCAACCTGGAGGCCGCCTTGCGAGCGGAGGAGTCTGGGGGACAGGCCTACGAGACGCCCCAGGAGGAAATCGCCCGGCTACGAAAGATGGAGTTGGAGCCTCAGCACTATAATGTGGATATCACGAAGGAGGTGAGCAGAGGGGCGGTCAGGGGGGAGAGGGTGTGGGAGGGGGGCTCACTCACCTGGTGGGGTGTGCAGGGGGGAGGGGGCGCGGGAGGGGTGCTGACCTGTGCCCTCCACAGCTCTCCACCCCAGACAAGGTCTTCATCCCCGAGCGCTACATCAACTTGGAGCCCGACACCCCTCTGAGCCCCGAGGAGCTGAAGGAGAAGCAGAAGAAGGTGGAGAGGATCAAGACGCTCATCGCCAAGTCCAGGTAAGCGGCCTGGGTAGACCCCGGGCGTGGGCCTAGCTTGGGGGAGTCCTTGTTGCTGAAGGCCCCAAGAGAAATCAGGCAGCGGCTCAAGGCAGCGGACCGGGCGGCCCCCAAGGACCTGCTCAGGGCAGCACATGGTGACAGTGGCCTTCTGGAGGCGTCTTCTCCCCTCCAGGGCAGCCCTAAGGGTCCCCGGGGGCCCCCCACGGGGCTTTTGCCGGGTTCCTCTCCCCGCCGACCCCAGCCAGCGGGACCAGCCTGTCGCCCCATGTCTGTGTGTCTGTGCCTCTTCAGCATGCAGAACGTGGTGCTCATCGGCGAGGGGGACCCGGTGGACGTGCCCCAGGACTCAGAGAGCCAGCTGCAGGAGCAGGAGAAGCGGATTGAGATCTCCTGTGCCCTGGCGACCGAGGCCTCCCGCCGCGGCCGCATGCTGTCTGGTGAGAGGGGCTGGGCCTCGCTCCGCCAGGGACACCGCTGCCCACGAGTAGGGGTGGAGGCACCGGGCCGCCAGGGGGCCAGGGACGGAGATCCACAGTGTGCCAGAGAGATGGCACTGCAGGTCAGGGCAAGCGTTAACCGAGCACCCAGCTCACCAGAGGGGCTGACGGGCAGGAGCCCTGGGCCCTGAGGTCCCTCCCAGCGGCTGACCTCTGGCCTCCCTAAAGTCAGCAGGAGCACAGGCCAGGTTGGGGGATGGCCTGGAGAAAAAGGGGGAACTGAGCTGGCTTGGGCAAGACCAGAAACGTCATCCTTAGGGGCTGGAGAGTAGGGGTCCTAGCTGAATTGACCATGAACCCGGTGGAGGTTGCAGTGGTCCTTGTTGAACTCCCAGTGATTTGGTGGAAGAGTGGATGTAATGGAAGAACGAAAGGGAGGCTAGATAGATGAACTGAGGCTTCACGAAGGACAAGGGCCAGGGGGTTGGGTCTGGAGCCTGACGTGGCCTTGTCCCCCAGACTGAGGCAGTCAGGATGGAGAGATGGTGAGATGGGAGGGCTGAAGGCCAGCCAAGAGGAATGCCCAGCCGGACACCCAGTAGGACAGTTGTGGATGACATTGGTGAAGGAGGCAAAGCCAGCTGGACACAGGTCCAGGGCTCTGTGGCCAGGTGAAGGGCAGTGGCTGGCTAGCAGCAACGAGGGAGAGTTCTCGAGGGCTGCAGGAGGGCCCAGTTCTCAGCTGTAAAATTCAAGTCAAGTTTTAAACTACCTTCCTGCCAGAATGAGGATAGGGTCCTGGGTGTAGCCAATGTCCTTCCTCAGGACGGAAGTTCCCTTCCAGGTTGGTCAGCTGTGGAGGGACACTGACTCTGTGATGCTGGTCACAGTTAAGCTCCCAGTAGTCCTTGCTTGGGTTCTTAATGGTTCTAGTTGGACTAACAATGGTCCTTGTTGATCCAGCAATGACTCAGATGAACAGGTGATGGTCCTTATTGATCCAGCAAGATTCTAGATGAGGTACTAATGGTCCTTGCTGATCCATGGATGATTCTAGATGAACTAGTGATGGTCCTTGTTGACCCAGCAATGATTCTAAATGAACTAGCAATGGTCCTAGGTAGCAATGATTCAAATTGTATTAGTAGTGGTCCTAATTGAACTGGCCATCAGCTTGGTGGAGGTTGCATTGATCCTTGTTGAACTACCAGTGATTTTCTCTGAACTCTCAATAATCCTGGTTAAACTGGTCCTTGTTGAACTAGCCATGATTCTGGTTGTACTTGCAATGGTCCTAGGTGAACCAGCCGTGACCAGTGTTGAAGTGAGGGTGGTTCTTGTTGAACTAGTAATGGTCTTAGCTGAGCAAACAATGGGCTTCATGGAGGTTGCAGTTGTTGAATTCACAAATTATCCTCATGGAACTTGAAGTGGACTAGCTGAGTTACCAACAGTCCTAACTGAATTAATTGACAATAGCTGAAGTCGAAATAGGAACCATTTGTGATTTTTTTCTAGCTATTTAAAATATGGGTATTTTCCACAAATCAGAGGATTTTAGCCATAACAAAGGAGACCCACTAACTTCACTGACAGTTAGCACAGAAGGGGCATCAGAAAGGGTGGCCAGGCAAGCCCTGGAGGTGTTCCAGAGAAAGTCTGTCATCCGGGCAGAGCCGAGGGCAAGGGGTGAGGAGCCTCAGACCCGAGGCAGCAGAACCAGTTCAGCTGCAAAAGCCTCCATAGAGCCTTCCTCCTCCCCAGAGTTGATCTGCAAATGAACTTGAATCTACCATAGATCAGATTCCACATGCTCTGGGCAAAAGACAACTTCCTGTTCGAGGGTTACAGCACATAACACCATTCTAAAGAGTTTGCCTTGCCCCTGCCTCAGCCCCTGGCTCCTTCTTCCATAGTTCCCCTGCCAAAGGTTCCATGAAAACAAAACCCACCCAGATGCTCAGATTTCTCCCTCAATACACACAGGTTTGCATTTCAGGGTCTCTGCACTGGGAGCAAACAGACGCTTGGCTTTTGCCAAAACCCCAACTATTTGAAAAATGGTCGTGGTGGGGCTCGACCTCAGACTTAGCCCACAGTCCCCACCAATCCGGGCTGGTGGCCCAGATTTCCAGAGCTGCGCTCTGCCTGCGAGAGCAGACTGTGCCCGGGCATGGGTGGGGTGACCTCGGGAGAACTGGGCACAGGTTGTGAGGACAAGGCAGTGGGCACCGGAGGCAGAGTTAGCCCCTGAGGGTGGATTGTGGTTGGCTGGTGTGGCCAGTGGCGAGTGTGTGCGGTGGTGTTTGCCGGTGCACCCTTGCCTGGTGAGAGCAGATGCAGGGTTGCCAGTGGGAAGATGCAAGTGTCTCGGTCTGTGTGTGATGGGAGACTCCCAGGCAGTGCTTGTGACACACTTGTGGGTGTTCATGTGTGTGTGGTATGTGGCTAGAGGAAATATTTGTGGGCGACTCCAGGGGTGGCGTGGACGCCCCTGAGTCTATGGTGTGCTGGGAACACCCCTCCTTCATGAGAGAGGGGTGTTGAGTAAACCATGGGGGTGTAGATGTGGGCGTGTGGGGTGCTGCTGTTTATATAGACTCACTCTCATGCACCACAGACTGGTCTGCAGTGAGGACATGTGTGAGGCATGTGTGCTTCTGTGGGGGTTCCACCGAGGCAAAGCAACGCTTGTGATCACCTAGCCGTGGTGCGTGTGGGATGGGAGGGAGTGTGTGTGGCCGGCTCTCTCAGCCTACAGATGTGGCGGTACTGGGACTCACAGTTTGAATATTCCATTTACATCTGTCCCATACAGAGGCACCGTACACATGGATTTTAACTATTGTGATGGATGGTGTTCTGATATACATACATGTTCTATCTTCTTTTTTAAAAAAAATTTTTTTTTGGCTGTGGTGGGGGAAGGCGGTTGTGCTCTGTCCTGTTCTACACTCAGGCATCAGTCCTGGCAGGCCTCGGGGACTATATGGGATGCTGGGGGTTGATGCCCAGTGGCCAAGGGCAAGGCAGATGCCCTCCCCGCTGTGCTGCTGCTCCGGCCCTGCACTCTGCCTTGCTAAACGTCATTGCTCCTGCCCTCCTCCCTGGGATCAATACCGGTGTTGTTCTTCGGCTGAGCTCTGTTGAAGGACTTCAGGACTGTGATGGGAACAGATCTGTTTGCTGCCATGCTAAATGCTCCCCAGCTGTGACACTGCTGTTAGGTCTACCGTAACTTTATTTTCTTTCTGTGGTTGTGCCTTCTTATGGACATAGCCGGCCTCTCACTCTGTCCGGCCTCTCCTAATTTCCCAGTTCTCATCTCCCGTGAGCTGGAACCTGTCGTGTCCTGCCTGCTAGAATGGGGCACAAATCGGCCTCCATCGGGCGCTGAGGAGCGTGTCTCTGAGAGTTTCCTGCTCATGCTCTGACCGCAGAGCGAACCTGCCTGGCTTAGGTCTGGGTTTTGTCCGGTTTCTCGCTCCCCGAGACTGACCGGAGAACCGTGCTGTAGGCTGCACACAGACGCGTGTTTCGAAAGCGCTGGCTTTGCATGTGAGACGTTTGCTGTGTGCCAGGCCCTGGGCAGGGCACCCCTCTGAGCTGTGTGCAGCGAATGTGAAGAAAGGATGTTGCCAGCTCCCGGCCCCCGCTGTGCCGTGCGTGGGCAATCCCCACTTCCTGATCCCGGGGAGCCCCGTGTCTGGGGCGCCTTCTGGGAGTGTTTGCATGGGTGCTGCGGTTGCATGGAGACAGGGAGCGCGTGGGGGCTCAGTGCCAGGATCCCCCTGGCAGGGAGCACCATGTGAGCCTGGCTGTCCCGGGTCCTCCCTCAGCTCCACTGAGCATGCTCCGTGCTGGCCGAGGCGCTGAGAACCCCACGCAGTCACTCTGGGGCCGCTTAGCATCCCAGCCTCACCCCCAAGGTCCTCAGCTGTCTTTTGCAACGTGAAACAATGGTCAGAGAGAAAAATCTCATCCATTCACAGATCTGCACTTTAAGGCCCATTAGGACTTGTGTGTGTGGGGGGGGGGGGCAGGGGGCGGCATAAGTCTTCTTGGATAGATGGAATGTTGGGGGGGTTCGTTGTGGGTCTCAGGGGAGACCCTCCAGTGGGAGCAAGTAGCAGACTCCTGCCGTGCCTGTGTGGAATGGATTCGTGTTCGCCTTCCCTCGGGCCTGTGCTCTGGTCTCGCGGGAGCTGCCCCGTGGCTCGTGCCAGGGCCTCCCTGACCTCGTTTTCCCAGCACCGTCGGCCTCAGGGGGGGGCCCCCCTGCTGTCCCGCTCGATACCCCCAGGCCTGGGGCCGGCTTTGCCCCCGCTTCGCTGGCTCTCCTCTCGCTCGCCTCGCCGCCCTGCCTGGGTGCCCTCCTCACCCCCGCACACCCTCCCGCTCACTCCCTGTTCGTTTCTGTTTCCAGTGCAATGTGCCACCCCGAGCCCGCCCACCTCCCCCGCCCCCCTGACTCCACCAGCCAACCCCCTGCCATCTGAATGCCCGCGGGGCGCGGACAGCAGCCATGCCATGCGGGTCTGAGTGGACGTAAGCACTTTCGAGAAGTATTTCACCCCCACACCCCACCCCACCCCACCCCGCGGGGCCCCACTCCCTCAGCCATGACATGGAGCCGCGATACTAGAGGAAAATCTCATCCATCCACGCGTCTGCACTTCAGGCAACGTCTTTGGCGTTGCTTCTCCCCCCCCCAGCCCGCCCCATGCCCTGCTCCTGTCTGCTTGCACCCTAGACCACCCCCCTGCCCCCCCCTCCCGCCTGCCCGCCCGCCGTGCGAGCCGGAGCCGGCTGGCAGGGCCGCTTCCTGGGCCGGGCACGGCTCCTGTGGACTTTGCTTCTCTGGAAGCAAAGCGGAAACCATGGGGCCCGCCCGGCCTGCCGGGAGAGAGTGCCCCCCTCCTCTCCTGTGCCCGTGCCCACACGCCCACCTGCTGAGTCTGTCCACGCATGCTGAGCTCCCCCCTCCCAAGTCCTTGGACATTTTTTGGTTTTCCCCCAAGTGTTTGAGGCTTATTTTTGCAAAGCAGTCTCTCCGAGGGTGCTGGGGTCCCCGAGCAACACGGGCAGCGGTCCGGAAGTCAGGTCCTGCCCAGGAGCAAACCTGAGCCCTGTCCGGGCCAGTATGTACTCCCGTTGCCTGCCTCCGTTCCCGGGTTTTACTGGGCCAAGTCGGACCAGAGACTTGGTCCCGCCCTCCCTAGCACATGGCCCTCGAGAGCTGACAAAAAGAAACAAAAGTCTCCCTCCCTTGGGACTGAGGGGGCCGTGGGGGGCAGGTGAGATGGCCCTCTCCCCGGGGAAGGTGGGTGCAATCGCAGGCACTCTGGCAACCCCTTTCTCACCACCTTCTCTCCCCTTCAGTGCAAGCCCTGGCCAGCGCCGTGCAGCTCCAGAGAGCGCCCCTCTGAGGTCACCTCTGCTCCTGCCGTCCCCACGCCTGCCCACCTGGCCCCTGACCCCTGCGCTCCCTGAGAATGTCGCTGGGAGCCCACGGGGGCTGGGCTGCTGCCGAGGGTCACGGACGACGGACACACGGACAGATGCCTCTGTCTGCTCACCACGCCCAGTGCTGACACCGGACCCTGAGCCATGGACGCAGACAGGGCCCGAGAGAGAGGCATGGGCACTGCCCTCCTGTCTGAGGCTCGAGCCGTTGGGGGCTGCCTGCTGTGTGTGGCCGTGGGACCACCGGAACTTCCAGATGGAGAAGATGCCCCGGGCTCGGGCAGCATGACAGGAGGCAGGGTCGGGAAGAAGACGGTCACTTCGAAGCCCTCCTGCCCCCGCCCACGCCGCTGCCCGCACCCAACCCGGCCGTTCCAGAGCATCATGCGTCTCTGCTCATGGGTGCTCCTTGGGGCCAGTGGGATGCCACTCGAGCCAAAGAGAGGGTGACCAGAGGGGTGACCGCTGGGCCCAAGGGGCCCTCATGTCTGTGGGTCGGAGCAGCAGGTCATTGCGGGTGTGGGGGCAGGTCGCGGAGGACTGAGAGGAAGAGAGAGAGCTCCAGGGAGAGAGAAGTAGGGAGGGTTAATGAGGGGTGCCCAACTGGACACGCCCCCCATGGGAGGAGGAGGAGGAGGAGGAGGAGGAGGGCGGCGCCACACAGGTGTAAGGGGTGTTGTTTGGGGGGGAGTTGGAAGGCTCAGGTCCCTGTCAGCACAGACCCTCAGCCTCCTACCACCTCCCCAAGGACTCCCCTCCAGCAGGGCTCAGAGATGCAGGACATGGGATGAGACGGGATGGGGTGAGGGTGGGCAGACGGTCTGGGACATGCTCCTTCTCCATCTGGGCCTGGGCTCAGGGTCAGAGGAGCACCCGCTGACTGTGGGGTGTCAGCCTGGAGGCCTTCGGGAACCACTTGGGTGACACGTCTCTGAGCTCCCTCTGCCCCCTGCGTGTGCCCTGAGGTGGGAGACTGGACTCCAGAGCTGCACCCTGGGTGCCCCGAGAAGGAACAGGAAGAATCGGCTGCTCGCTCAGCCCTGCGGCTCCCCCTGACCAGGACTCACCCACCTGGGAGAGGCGCCCACCCTTGCCCCACGGCAGCCCCTGGAGATGAGGGTGGTCCGAGGAGGTGGCAGCCCCGGCACGGGCAAGGCTGGCGCTGCCAGCTGCCCGGGCCCACTGCTCCGCCACGGCTGGTGTGCAGCTTAGATGCTCCGGGCACTGTTCTAGGTGCCTCGGATGCTCCTGAGGGGCGCCAAGCGGGGCTCCCACTAGCTTCAGTCCCCCTTAGCCACAGTCCCCGTCTTCTCGCCCAGCCCGACACCCCTGCTCTGTCCTAGCTCCCCCATGGTCGGGCAGACAGGGAAGGACTGCCCGGTCACCCCTCACCTCTCCCCACCTTTTTCCATCCACCAGAAACAGTTTGGGGGGGAGTGGGGTCCACCGCCTTCCCTTTCTTTGTCTCTCCTTTTTTTAAGTCATATTTTTAGAAATACCTGTGGAACACCAAGGGCCCGTGTCTGCCCTCCACCCCCTCCACCGTGGTTCATAAAGCTGGCTCTTTATGTTGCTTTACATGCCTTAATATATGTTGATGGTGGTTATACATATTATAGATCTCTATGTAATATATACATCCGTCTCACTGCCTCATCCTTTCCCCGGCCCAGACCCGTTCCCTCCTTCACGCCCCATACCCTTCTTAGCGCCAGGCAACCCCACCTCCATGCCTTTTGATCCAAAGAAGAAGGGGAAAGATTTATTTTAGGATAGATCAATTTTACTTGGCTCTTGTTATGAAGGGCTGGAGTGATAGCATAGCAGGTAGGGCGTTTGCCTTGCACGCAGCCAACATGGCCGACCCGAGTTCGATTCCTCCGCCCCGCTCGGAGAGCCCGGCAAACTACCGAGAGTATCTCGCCCGCACGGCAGAGCCTGGCAAGCTCCCCGTGACGTACTCGATATGCCAAACACAGTAACAACAAGTCTCATGATGGAGACGTTACTGGACTGGCTCGAGCAAATTGATGAACAACGGGAGGACCGTGCTTGTTACGAAAGCCAACCTATTTTCGGGTTTGCACTGTCTAAATGGAACAGGGAGAGAGGGAGCCTGGGGTAGCCACCCCAAAGCCCCAAACTCACATACTCTGCACCCACAGTTTACAGTTTTCTATCCCTGCCTCCTTGTCACCCCACCCTAGGTCTGGCTCCCCACAGACCCCACCCCCACCCCTCCTCTCCCCCCAGAGACAGTGTGTGTCTCTTGGAGCAGGACATTTTCTTGAAACCGTTTTCACAATTTGGTCACCATGTCACCTCTTGGCTCTCTGGACTCATCGGGCAACAAAACCTCTGGGAGGAAATCTCTCCCTGATGGGCCCAGGAGGCAGCACCAGGGCCCAGGAAATACTGTGGGCTTGCGGTCCTTCCCGTGGACATTAGTGGCATGTGTCCGTCTGTCCTTCCTCTCAGGCTTTCGTCAAGAGGGTGGGATCTGAGTCTGGCATTGAACTGCAGGGTCCACTTCGGGGCTGAGGAGGGGCTTGGGGACATATGGCCTCTGCTTTGCCCAGGATCCAGGACCTCCAGCAGACTTAGACAGGTGCCGACAGCCCCCAACTTCCAGCGTGCTGGGTCTGGCACAGGCGGGGTGGCAAGGAGGCCTGGGTCCTTCCAGATCTGGAAGCAAGTTTTGCGAGCCTGGCACGAAACTCGTGACCAGCATTTCGAGTCCAGCCCCCTTTCCTGCGTCCTGGGGCCTCTCCCCAGCCTGGCTGTGACTGCTGAAGGGGCCCCGGGACGGGTGTGGGGAGAGGACAGGGCTCTGTGACCCTCAGCAGATTTTCTCGTCCTCCCTGGCCACGGCTGCCGCTGTCCTTGCGGAGTCCCCGAGGCCGCCTGCTGCTGTGATCCTGCGACAGGGTAAGAAGCATGAGCCGGAGCTGGGCTTGGCCAGAGCCCGGGAGGGTGCTCGGACTCAGCAGCCCCCGAGCTAAAGAAAACTGCTTCATCTGTGTTACATCCACTCACACACACAGGCGTCCGCACCTGCTGCAGCTGACTGGTCAGTGTCAGACAATAAACCACACCAGGAGCCTGAGGACCTGAGTGTCATTCTTCAGGACACGTGGCCTGAGAGGGCAGCAAGCTTGGATCACAGCAAGCACCGTAGTGGGAGCACAGCAGGGGCCACCCCCGAGCTGCTGTTCCCTGTGGGATTGCAGCCGAGGAACTGCGGGTCCACTGCCCTCCAGCACTGCCTGGGTCCTGCAAGTGTGTGCCAACCCAATATAGGGAATAAAAACGGTTTGTACAAGAGGTGTGTGTGTGTGTGTGTGTGTGTGTGTGTGTGTGTGTGTGTGTGTGTCCCTGTCCTGTCTGCCTGGAGCAGGCCTCGGGGTCCCATGAAAAGTGGGGAACTGCAAAAAACAAGAGTGGGGTCTCAGACCAAGGCAGGGTGCAGAGCATGCGCCCCCTCCATGAGCCTCAGGCTGCATCCTCAACTTTCCCTGTGATCAGGAGCCTCAGTTTCCAGAGGGCTGCTTCCTCTGTGTGTGCACATGCGTGCATGTGTGTATGCGTGCATGCATGTGCATATGTGTGTGTGCTTGTGTACATGTGTGTGCATGCGTGTGTGCATGTGTGTATGCGTGCACATGTGTACATATGCGCATGCCTGCATGTGTACTGTGTGCATACATGTGTGTGTGCGTGCACATGTGTATGTGTGTGCCTGCGTGTGTGCGTGCATGTGTGTACATGCGTGTGCAAGTGTGTGCGTGCATGCACATGTGTACATGTGTGCATGCCTGCGTGTGCTGTGTGCATGTGTGTGTATATGTGTGTGCGCGCATGGGGGTATGGAGGTGGAGCCGGAGAGAATGGCAGAATATGACTCCCATGATCCTTGTGGTCCAGGCCATCGAGACAAGACTTGGCCCGAGGTCCCATGTCGGGCAGGTAGTAGATCATCCTTCAGGCCCTGGAAGCTTTCCTTTGATCTACCTCTGGAACAGGGTAGGGGTGTAGGAGAAGGAAGTGGAGCCCCAACCTTGTTTGCCGGGGTGGGGGTGGAGGGGACAGGACTGAAGCTGGGACACCATGAGGACTAGGATAAGAGTCAGAGGGGCCAGAGACGTACTACAGCAAGGAGGGCATGTGCCTTGCACGCGGCCGACCTGGGTTCGATTCTCAGCATCCCATATGAGCCCCAGTCCCAGTACCACCAGGAATAATTCCTGAGAGCAGAGCCAGGAGTAATCTCCCAGCATCTCCGGTGTGGCCCTAAAACTAAAATAAATCATAAATAGATAAGATTAAAGTGAACACACTTTCTACTAGCCCTTTTGGGGTGGGAAGGGGTCCAGAGTTAAAATGCAGTGATTTGAGCCAGAGAGAAGCAAAACGGGGAGGAGACCCTCCTACTGTCTCCGCATCCCTGCTTCCTCGGCCTGTGCTCCCTGGACCTCCCAGGGCTCCCTAACCCTCGTCTTCCCTAACCGCTGTCAAACCAAGCAGCCCCCTGAGTGCTTCACGCTGGAAGTACAAAATAGGAAAGATGTGGGCTGAAGAGATAGTACAGTGGGTATGGCGCTTGCCTTGCACATGGCAACCGGGGTCCAATCCCCAGCACCTCATATGGCCCCCTGAATCCTGCCAGGAGTGAGCCCTGCGCACTGCTGGGTGTGCCCTAAACCCAATAATACAGAATCAATAAGATGATTGTCTCTTGGATTTTGTCGCTTCTCTGGAAGCGGGTGAGCTAGACCTGGGGAAACCACAGCCAGTGACCCCGGGCGCCGGGACCACCTCCGAGGCCTTGTGGAAAGATGTCACCAGCTGTCACCCCTGTGCCCACCCAGTGCCCACCCCAGAGAGCAAGACACTGTCCCAGGAGAGTTCCTGGCCCACAACCTCCCTAGGCTAGCCCCCCGTGTATGGAAAGCTCTCAGGGAACGTTGGCACACAGTCCTGCCTCTACATGTCAGGAGGCTCAGAGCTTGGGCCTCTTCTGCACATTTTTTTGTGTGGGAGCTACCCCCACCCCAACCCACCCCTGGTGCTCAGGGCTTACTTCTGGCTCTGCACTCAGGAATTACTCCTGGCAGTGTACAGGGGACTAGAAGGGATGCTGGGGATCGAACCCAGGTGGGCCACGTGCAAGGCAAACACCCTCCCCGCTATACTATGGCTCTGGTCCCTCTGCTGCATGATTCTAGAAGCACAGTGCTAGGTGAGGGCCTGAGTCCCGGGTGACAGAGTTTAAGAGTGCTCCACTAATAGGAATTTTATTTATTTTTATTTGTTTATTTATTTATTTATTTTATGAAGGAGTACTGCTATTTATTCAGCCACTGATGAGCTGATTGAATTGTGCATGAACTCCACCTTACTTTTTTTTCATTTTCTTATAATTTTATTTATTGAATCACCATGAGAGCAGTTATAAAACTTTCGGGTCTAAGTCTCGGTCATACAATGAAACACCCATACCTTCACCAGTGCCCATTCTCCACCACCAAAAACCCCAGTATACCCCCACCCCACACCCTCCCCCTACCTGTGGGGCAGATGATTTCCACATTACTCTCTCTCTACTTTGATCACATTCAATATTTCGACATCAGACCCACCATTATTATTTGAGATTTTACCCCAACACTCAGATCTGCTGAAAAGGCAACAGTAGACAATTTGTGTTCTATTGCTGGTTATGTAAAACATATGATGTCGCATGGCTGCAGTAGGGCCACGTGATCTTGAAATTCCGAAATTTTAACACTTAAATCTGGAGGGATTTCTGCCAAAAGTCACTGGGTTTCGAGATTTTCTCCTGAGTCTCTGGGATCATGGCTGTTGGGCAGCTTGATCAGGAGCCAGAGAGGCCGTTCATGGGTGATGACTTGGGGTCTCGTTGGGACGAGGAGACCAGGACCAGCTCCACCCCCATCCTGTGAGGCCCAACAAGTTTCATCACTGCAGGCCCAGACCTGACTGTCCAATGGCCTCTGGAGGATGACAGCCACCAAGCTGCCAAGGGGGAGCAGGCAGAGGGAACAACACCCTTTCCCCACTGGGGTGGCCTGACGACAGTAACCTACTGCGTGGTCTAGACGCATTTCTGCCAAAAGCCGCTGGGTTTTGAGATTTGTTTCTGAGTCTCTGGGATCATGGCTGTTATGCAGCTTGATCAGGAGCCAGAGAGGCCATTCGTGGGCAATGACTTGGGGTCTCGTTGGGGTGGGGAGGACAAGACCAGCTCCACCCCCATCCCGTGAGGCCCTGTGTGTCTTGTTACTGGGGGCCCAAACCAACTGTCCAGTGGTTTCTGGAGGATGGTGGCCACTGGGCCACCGGAGGGAGCAGGCCAAGGCACGAAACCTATTCCCACCTGGGTTGGCCCAGCACCGGTAACCTACTGCAGGGACCAGACGCATTTCTGCCAAAAGCCACTGGGTTTCGAGATTTGTTTCTGAGTCTCTGGGATCATGGCCATTAAGCAGTTCAATCAGGAACCAGAGAGGCCATGCCTCCAATTATATAGCTGAGCCAGAGGTGGTTTGTGGGTGTGTTTCCCACATACCTAACTTTTGGCCATTTACTTTCTTGGTAAACTTTACCCCAAGTTTTTGGGTCTGGCCAAAGGCACAGCAGCAATTTTGGGGTATCTGGAAATCTGAATGCGCCATCAGGCTACTGATGCACTCGCCTCACAGGTACAGATTGACCTGCTGGCAGCACCATACCCCCACTAATGGGAATTTTAATGGGAGTGATTATTATTAGCCAGATGAGACCAGTAGGAACCACAGTGCCTTCAGCTTTTGCTCCTTACACCTCAATGAGAAAGGGAAGATGCTCTCCAGGACCCTGAGGCAGAGCGAGGGCAAAGAGGAGAGTGAAGATGTCTCAGAGCGAGGACAGAGCCCCCAGCACATGGACTTCAAAGCCAACGCCTTTTTTGTGGGGCGGGAGGGGCGAGGGGGAGGGACGTTTCCTAGGGGTGCTTGGCTGTGTAAGGCATGCGTGCCTTTTTTTGTTTGTTTTTTAATTTTGTTGAATCACCATGAGATAGTTACATGCTTTCATGTTTGGGTTACAATCACACAATGATCGAACACCCATCCCTCCACCAGTGCACATTCCCCACAACCGATATCCCCGGTATACCCCCCCCCCTTTCCCACCTTCATTATGGCATGATTCTCCATAATCTCTCTCTACTTTTGGGCATTATGGTTTGCAATACAGACCCTGAGAGGTTGTCATGTTTGGTCCATTATCTACTTTCAGCACACATCTCCCATCCCGACCGGTTCCTCAGGCCATCGTTTTCTTAGTGATCCCTTCTTTATTCCAGCTGCCTTCTCCCCTTTGCTCATGAGGCAGGCTTCCAGCAATGGAGCAATCCTCTCCCGTGTCAGCCTCATGTTATGTTGTTTTATACTCCACAAATGAGTGCAGTCCTCTGTCTGTCCCTCTCTTTCTGACTCATTTCATCTAGCATGATACTCTCCATGTCTATCCATTTATAAGCAAAGTTCATGACTTCATCTCTCCTGACAGCTGCATAGTATTCCACTGTGTAGATGTACCAAAGTTTCTTTAACTAGTCATCTGTTCTAGGGCACTTGGGTTGTTTCCAGATTGTGGCTATTGTGAACAGTGCTGCAATGAACATATAGGTACAGATGTCATTTCTACGGTGCTTTTCGTTTCTTTTTTGGGTCACACCCAGCAATGCATAGGGGTTTCTCCTGGCTCTGCACTCAGGAATTACTCCTGGCAGTGCTCGGGGGACCATATGTGATGCTGGGAATCGAACCCGATCTACTGTGATTATATATATATATGTATATATATATATATATATCCTCAGAATATATTCCCAGAAGTGTTATTGCAGGGTCATATGGAAGCTCAGTTTCTAGTTTTTGAAGGACCGTCCATATTGTTTTCCAGAAAGGCTGGACTAGTGGGCATTCCCACCAGCAGTGAAGGGGCGTCCCTTTTCCCCCACATCCACGCCAGCACTGGTTGCTCTCGTTCTTTTGAATGTGTGCCAGTCTCTGTGGTGTGAGATGATATCTCATTGTTGTTTTGATTTGCATCTCCCTGATGGCTAGCGACGTGGAGCATTTTTCCATGAGGCACAGGTGCCGTAGTCCCTGAACTCTTTCTCCTGCCCCTAGTGCTTACTCCTTTACCACCTTTTTATCTTACTGGAGGTACATAAAGGAGGGGAAGGTCTGGGGTACGCAGTGGCTCTGGTCTTCTACTTCTCCGTTTCCTACTCGCCTACTGCAAGCTGCCCCTGCGTTTGTGCTCTCTGGAAAGGCTTGCCCTGACGCTACCTTAAGGAGACACGCTGCTTTGCCATTCATCATCCTCTGCCCTGGGTGATTCTGAGTGTCTGCAGATGAGCGTTCTGTGGGCCTGGTCCTCACCTCTGGATTCCCTGCAGGATGCACTGTATAACACTGTCCTCCTGTTGTTCATCGATTTACTCGAGTGGGCACCAGTAATGTCTCCATTATGAGATTTGTTACTGCGTTTGGCATGTCAAATACGTCACGGTTAGCTTGCCAGGCTCACGCCGTGCGGGCGCGATACTTTCGGTAGCTTGCCAGGCTCTCCGAGAGGGCGGAAGAATCGAACCGGGGTCGGCCCAGGTCGGCTGCGTGCAAGGCAAGAGCCCTACCCGCTGTGCTATTACTCCAGCCCACCTGTAGGATTGAGGAGACATTTTTGAGGGCTGGTGAGAGGGGCCTGAACAGAACCGCTCTGCCACTGGGGCAGGGGGTCAGAGCCAACGCCTCTCTTTACAGGGCGATCAGGGAGGGAAGGACGCCTCCACTCTGCACCCCCTGAGCCAGCTGGCCCTCCTGCAGGCCTAAACTCAGAGCTCCCCTCGGGGCTCCACAGGGTATGGGCGCGTGCCAGGTTCTCTGGTATGCCGCAGCCTGAGTTACACACACACACACACACACACACACACACACACACACACACACACACACACACACACAGGACGGCCCCAGGTCAGGCGCAGCATTGACTCGGTTGCTTGTCTCCCTCTACTGTCCACTCTGGGTACTGGCACAGAGCAAGCAAATCCCCTCTCCAGAAACCCAAGCAACCTGGCTACCCCAGATTTCCAGGTCTCCCATAGACTGTCTGCGTTGTGTTGTGCTGGGAGGCTGCTAAGGCAGGGTTTGGAACCAACCACTGCTCGCCACACCAATCCACCTGGATGGTTCCATGCTCAGAACCAGGCATATGGGGCTGCCGGGGCCGGCCAGGGAAGCTGGTGGCTGTCAGGATCCCAGCCCGATGCTGGGGGACCTTCATACCATACTCAGCCGCTGGGAGGCCTCAGGACCACAGGTGGTGCTGCTGGGGGTCCCAGGACCACGCCCCGCTGTGCCGGGATTGAACCCAGGGTTGTGACGCCTGGCCTAAGTCCCCGGAAGATGTTACCTGCTGCAAGTGGGTGGGGTGCAGGGAGGGGATGTGCTGGGAAGAACCAGAGGAGGTGTCTTGGCTATACATGTGCATGTATGTGCATCTGCATATGTGTGCAAGCATGTGTGTGCATGTTTATGTGTGTGCATATATGCGTGTGCATGTATGCATGTATATGCGTGTTTCATGTATGTGTGCATGTGTTCTTGTATGTTTGTGCATGTGTGTGTGCTTGTGTGTGCATGTGTACGTATGTATGTGTGAGCATGAGCGCGCACATGCGCGTGATTGTGTGTTAATGATTGACAGAGGCTCGTTTCACAACTTACCAAGGGTCACTCTTAGAGCATGTTGGAGCCGGGCTCTCGGCTGCGCGCTTCTTGGCAGCTTCTTCCCAGAAGGGCCCCCTCCCCGACACCATGATCAACATCACAGAGCTGCAGAGTGAGTGCCGGCCGGGAGCTTGGGGGGTGGGGGGAGGCATCGGGCCTGGATGGGGTATGCCAGCAGAGACACACCCCCACCAGCAGGAAGCTTCCTGGGGAACTGCGACCTCTGGAGCCTCTGACTGGAGCTGTCGTGTTGGCACCAGGCTGTGGTCAGGCGGGCGGGTGTGGCTTGCCCACTGCCTACAGTGCCCCCAGGGAGCTGGCCAGACCAACACAGGCTGGGCCCTTGAACCAGGGATGCAACAAAGAGCGGCCACCTGTCATGACCCCACACCCGCTCAGGGCCCCCAGCAGCCTGGACTTCCTCTTAACGAAGCAAACTCCACTCTGCTCCCCGGCCCCAAACCTCTCCCCTTCCCTGTGGGGAGCCCCCCACCCCCACCCCCGCAGCCAGCCACTGGAGGGTGGGGACAGCTGCGAGCTTCACTGGGTCCAGTTACCTAACAACACCCCTACCCCACCCCCCTATAGCCTCCCCCGTGAATAGAAGCAAATATCCCTGGGACAAACATGCCTTCATTAGGGGGTCGGTGTGGTGTGTATTCCCACTCACACACTGCAGGGAAGACAGACACAGATGCAGACATCACTGGGTAGGACTTCCAGGCAAACGGGAGCCAGGAGGCACGAAGGGTTACCGTTCGCTTGAGAGTGGCTAGTGGAGGACCCATCCAGAAGGCGCCTTTCTAAGGAGCCCTACAGGAAGTGAGGGGGCAAAACCATGAGTATTCTGGAGGAAAGTGTCCTAGGGAAAGAGGGCAGCTGTGCAAAGGCCCTAGGGTACAAGCACTCGTGTTGTGTTGGGAGATCAAGGAGCTGGTATGACTGGTGCAGGGTGGGTGAAGGGTTGCAGTAGTTGGGGTCTGGGTCAGGAAAGTCCCCGGGACTCCAGAATGGGCCTAAACTTTGGTATCATTTCCGTGAGCTGGGGATCATGAACTTTTCTACAGAAGGGGGGGGGGGGGTGATAAGATCTGTTTATCTCTTCATAAGATCATGCTGGGCGCTGGGTTGAGAGTGGACTGTGAAGGGTGACATCAGCAACTCGGGGTCCTGGTTTGAGGCAAGAGATGACAGGGACACCATCTGTTGTGAGGGGAGAGAGAGGAGGGCTGAGGTCCAGCGCCAAGGCCCAGCCAACATTTCATTAAAGCAAAGTGTACTAAGTTCAACGAAAATGAAACGAGAGAGAGCAGATCTAAGGGCCAGAAGACATCGGAGGACCAGGAACTGGCATGGCCTTGAGACCCCCAGGATGCCTGTGCCTGAGGCTGAGTGGGAGGATGTAGGGAAAAACAAGCTTGTTCAAAGGCCCCGAGGCAGAAGCGGAGGGCTCTGAAGGGGGGTTGGAGGGGCAGGCAAGGGTGGAAGAGGGGACCGGTGGGGGGCACTCGGCTTCACCGTGTGCCCACTGGGAAGCAGAGAGGAGGTAGGCGGGGCACCGCTAGGATTCTGTTTCCCAGAATCCTGGCTCCTATGAGGAAGGGGAGTCAGAGGGAGGCAGGATGAGTTCACTAGGTGGAGAATGTTGTAGGAGAGGAAAGAGAATTTGAGCGTTAAGGATACAGAGAAACGGGGTTCCCAGAGAGCTAGCCGTGTGTGAGACCCGAGTCCCCTCACGTGCCCCATCCCCCACCCCCAGCCCTGGCAGGCATAGAGCGGGTGATCCCTGCACCTGCAGGGCCATACAAAACAGAGCCAAGGAGCACGGAGAAATGAGCGGCTTCCGGGGGCCAGTAGCCACAAAGCACGGAAAGGCTGGAGCTGGGCAAGTGGCGGATTAGGTGAGGGAATCTTGGTTCAGTGTGGCCTGGGCTGGAGAGGGAAAGCCCAGCGGGAGGCCACGGGATGTGGCTCAGAGAGAACTGGAAGGATAAACAGCAGTGTCGGGGCCAGAGAGATAGTACAGTGGGCAGGGTGCTTGCCTGGCATACAGCCACTTGGGTTCGATCCCCAGCATCCCAAATGGTTCCCCAAGCACCGCCAGGAGTGGTCCCTGAGCTCAGAGCCAGGAGGAACCCCTGAGCACGGCCAGGTGTGACCCCTCCCCAAACCCCTCCCCCCCCAAAAATAATAAAACCCCAACAATGTCACTACACGGAGACCGGAGGCTCATGACAGAATGAGACTTCTCAACCTCACTCTGAAGTTTCCATTGATATAAAGGCATGTTGGCCTGTGAAGCAAGAATGCAGAGGAGTAGACGTGGGTCCTACCCCGAGAAATCAAATGCCCGAGGGAGGACGAGCAGGAGGGTCTGGGGTGACCCAGTCACCATGAGAGACTGGCTCGGGACGGGGAGCTCAGTCTGACACCTGCTGTCTGGTTTTCAGGGACAGATCCTCAAAATGAAGCTGTTTCTGAGGGGCCAGGAGGCAGGACTGGGCTGGTTCGGGGCCAGACTACCAGGTTCACACTGGATCTGGCTGGGGGGCTGCGGGGGACTCCACAGTTGTCTGGGAAACAGGCTAACAACAGACCTGTCTCCAGGAGGCTTCAAACAGTCTGAGGGTTCGAGCGGTTAGCCGGACCTGGCAGCGTCATCTATGTCAGTGGATGATTTTTTTTTTTAGAAAGATGCACCATTTTACTGTTCTATGAATCAACCCTGAGAAGTGAGGGGAAGGTCTTCCTCTTCCCTTTTCCACAACTCCTACCTCTGGTTATGCAACTCGGCCCTGGCATGGTTCGTGGGGAAGGGGGAAGACAAGCTCATAGCCGCTGCCAAGCCGGGGGCAGTGATGCTCATGCAACTTCCCCTCCAGCGCATCTTGGCTGGAGCTGAGCAGAGACAGCAGTGGGTGGTACCCAGGCTTCCGGTGGACGGTCTCTGGTGCCAAGGCGGGCGGGGAGGGGGTGGGGCAGAGAAGGACGTTTTGTCTGGGCAGCATCTGGTGGGGGTGGTGGTGAACGGAGAGTAACCAGAATGAGGGGTGCCACAGGTAACGCTGCCATCAAGGGACTGAAGAAATGTCAGGAAAGGACTAGAGGGGAAACCACGCTGCAGCCGCCTGGTACCCCTGCAAGAACGTGTCCTGCCTTGCAGTCCTTTCTGCGTCATCTAGATCTTGTCACAGGAAGAAACTTGGGGGAAACGCAAGTAGAAGACAGTTACAAAACGACTGACCAGAATCTCAGTGCAATTAAGAAAGAGCAAGGAGGCTGGAGCAATAGCATAGTGGGTAGGGCGTTTGCCTTGCATGTGGCCCACCCGGGTTTGATTCCCAGCATCCCATAGGGTCCCCCGAGCACTGCCAGGAGTAATTCCTGAGTGCATGAGCCAGGAGTAACCCCTGTGCATCACCGGATGTGACCCAAAAAGCAAGAAAAAAAAAAAGAAAGAGCGAGGAGTGGGCACAGACATGTAACTAAGGGTTTGGCCACCCAGGGTCATGGAGGTTCTGAGCTGGGTCCATTTTCCATATCAGCGGTGCTGAGGAGTTATGGGGTGATAGGGGGTGCCAGGGATCGAACCTGGGTCAGCCATGTGAAGGCAAGCGCCCTCTGTACTATCCCTCGGACCCCCAGAGAGTGTGTGTTCTGCAGTATCCGTGCAGCCTGGGGCTGGGCCGGAGGCTCCATCCACTCTCCAGAAAATCCTACTTTCCTGAAGCTAGAGCTGTTTCCAGGAGCCCAAGAGGCATTTAGCAGGCTTCCCTGACAAGAGCTAGAGAGTGGGTGTGGGGAGCGGGGTTGATGTGTGGCTGGCCTGGGTTCAATCCCCAGCATTCTGTATGATCCCTGAGTCCACCAGGAGTGACCCCTGAGTGCAGAGCTAGTAGTCAGCACTGATCACAGCAGAGTGTGGCCTGCAGACCAAACATTATTAAAAGGGGGACAATAAAATGGTGCGTCTTTCTAAAACAAAATCATAATACATTTTTAAGAAAAAAAGTTTTTTATTTTTTAATTTTTTGTTTTTGGGGTCACACCTGGCAATGCTCAGGGGTGACTCTTAGCTCTACACTCAGGAATCACTTCTGGCGGTGCTCGGAGGGGCCTATGGGATGCTGGGAATCGAACCCAGGTCGGCCACGTGCGGTCAAATGCCCTACCCACTGTACTATTGCTCCAGCACCCAAAATTGGTTTTAAAGGCTGCAAATTCCCTAAGCTGTTTCTTGTCCATGAGCTCTCTATCACTCCGTCAAATCTAAATGACAGAGCTGTGTACTCTGGGGGAGGTGTTCATTTTATTGAGTGTTGATATTATATTCTCCATTCTCTTCTGGCGCATAGAGTCTCATTTGGAAGCTCTGCTGTGAATCTTACTGTAGGTCCTTGGCATGTAAGTTCCTTTTTCAACCTTGTGGCTTTCAACATTCTGCCTCTGACTTTTGTCATTCTGATCATAATGTGTCTTGGAGTTTTTCTATTTGGGTCTATTTTTGTTGGGACACTTCAAGCCTCTTGGATCTGGGTGCCTGCACTCCTCAGCAATGAGAAATTCTTATCTATGATTTCCCTTTTTTTTTTTGTGGTGTGTGTGTGGGGTCACACCCAGTGGTGCTCAGGCATTACTCTGGGCTCTGTGCTCAGGGATCAACCCCAGAAGGCTCGGGGGACCGGGGTCCACCACATACAAGACAAGTGCCTTGCTCACTGTATTATCTCTCTGCCCCTTACCTGAGATTTCCTTAACTGCTGCTTCTTTTGTTTTTTTAAATTGAATCACAGTGAGATACACAGTTACAAAGTTGTTCATGATTGGGTTTCAGTCATATAATGTTGCAACACCTGTCCCTTCACCAGCCTACATTTCACATCACCAGTGTCCTCAGTTTCCCTCCCACCCTCCTCCTCCTCCTCCTCCTCCTCTTCCCCCTCTCCCTCCCCCTCCCCCTTCACCTTCTTCTTCTTCTTCTTCTTCTTCTTCTTCTTCTTCTTCTTCTTCTTCTTCTTCTTCTTCTTCTTCTTCTTCTTCTTCTTCTTCTTCTTCATTATGGTTTGCAATACAGATACTGGAATATTATGCATGTCCCTTTACCTACTTTTA